CGCTGGAAACAATTTCTTTGGAGGTTAAGTCCTTCTTTTCCATGTCTTGAAGACACTCCGCTTTGATTGAAATTTTTTTATCAAGTGGGTAATTATTACAAAATCGAACTTGATATACCCTGATCAATCTGAGATGTTCGTTGTGATTAAAGTCACAAGCAAGAGTCCACACCCAAATCCATGAAATAAAGAATTCAAGGGAGAAATTAATTATAGGTTTAACCTCAATGTTCCTTTAAAGATGGACTTTTTTCTTTATATAAGTCGAATAATTTTTTCATTTCAGCAGTATATATCCCTTCAATGGCACCGTGAGTATTCCACCATGTCGTAAAACCAATTAAGAATCTTAGTACAGGTTTTGGTAAATATAAAAAGTTATGAGTGCCTCAAAGATGGACAATTATAAAAAAAGACATTATACCAAGTATCAATATAATCGAAGTAATTATACTTCATATAAGAAGATTTTGTTAAAGTTCTAAGAATTATTAAGTTTAAACCCCAGTCTCTTGGAGATGTTATCCTTACTATGGATGCTTTACTATAAGATGGATTTTTAAGATCCATTCTATTATTATAAAATCTTTGGAATTCAATAGAATTCATTTCAATAAGAATATTCTCATAATATATTCTGTCATTTTTACTAAACACCAAAAGGTTTTATCCATGGTTATAAATTGTTTAGCAATATAGTATGGATCAGTTATCCAATTAATATATTCATCATCCAAGGTCAAAATACTGCTATAAGTAGGTAGAATATTTAACTCTGGGTAATTTAGTTTTGGTTTAGCTATTAAGGCATCTTTCATTGATTTTTTTACTTCTTATAACGGTATAACCGTCAGCATCAGTTTTACTTGTTTGTTCTTCTTTAAGAAGTTGTTTATCTACGACTTTAAGCTGTTTAGATTCATTAAGGGCAGGCTAATAAGCATTAATCTGGGTTTTTCCCCCAGATATTTCTCTTCCGCGACCTCGGCCACGGTTATTACTCTGTCCTCTGTTCATGAGAACCCTCCAAAATTTCCCTGGTTAAAAAATCAGGGAGAGAATTTAATTCTCTTTTAACATATTCAATCTTAAAATTGAAAACTAAAAAAATAGTCTGTCATCTTGCAAATATTTGTTTAGATGCAATGTTCTTTACATCCTGTTCAAGAACATTTTTAGTAGAGCTACAATCAATTCTTAACAAAAATTCTTGATTTAACAAATCATCTTGAAATTTACTAATGCATTTAACAATAGACAAAATTTTCTTTTTTATAGTAGAATAATTTAATTGAGTTTTTACCTAAGGTAAATCTAAAAAGTAACTCTTTATTAGTATTGAGATCTTTTTGCTTAAGAATGTCTCCATAACCTTTATTTGAAGTATCAGTTTCAACAATCTTATACCACTTTGGATTTACCAATGAAAGACATGGTAAATGTTTAGCTTTAAGCTTAATTTTTCTTACAGCTTCGATAAGAAGATATGTCCAAGGCGACAGATTCTTCCAATGTCTGGGATATAATATAGCAGTGTATTGGGTTAGATTTTTGTAAAAATCTGTTAATTAATTTAAACTTCCCAAAAACCTTTGTAATTGCTTCTTATCTTTAATTTCATTAAGAAATTTAAAAGCAAGTTCAGATTTTTAATTAGAATAATTTCATCTTAATAGCAAAAAGAACTAATCCATTCTTTCTTACAACTTGAATAAATTTATTTAAATGTTTAAAATGTTGATCAATCAAATCAGAATAGATTAGTATATCATCAATGTAAACAATACAAAATTCATAATAATGATTAAATATATCATTCATAATATTTTGAAATTCTAATGGGGCATTTTTAAGCCTGAAAAAGATATAACATTTCATTCATAATGACCAAAAAGTATTGTGAAAGCAATTTTGTATCTGTCTTCCTCAGCAATTTGAATTTTGCCAATATTTTGATTTTAAATCAAGCTTTGAAAAAATCTTAACATTATATAATCGAGATAATAAATCCTTCTTATTAGGAATGAGATATCTAATCCATTAAAATACCTTATTTAAAGGTTTATAATTAATTACCAATCTAGGAACTCCTCATTTTTTTTCTGCATTATTATTAACGTAAAAAACAACACAACTCCAATGAGAGTAGCTTTTACGAATTAATGATTTTTTTATTAATGAATCAATTTCCTTTTTACAAAGTTACAAATATTATTTATTCATCTGTGTTGGTCTTGCCTTAGTAAAAATATCTTTTTCATTAAATTTCTTGATATAAGGAACAATTACCACATGTTTTTTCTTATCCCAAAAAGCATTAGGAATTGTATTGCATACTTCTTTAGTTATTTTATTTTCAATTTTTTTATTTTATTTTTAAATTCATGAGTGTTAAGTTTATCAGATATTCTCAACATTTTAACATCTTCTTTTAAAAAATTTAATTGATTCTCTTTATAAATCAAATTTTCTTTTATCTGATTTATCATTTTTATTTGTGGTAGAGTTATGAATTCAAATAATATTTGTTACCAATGGGCCTTTGGTCCAATTGTACTCTTTACCTTATGAAGGCTTTGCCTTTTTGAGATTAAGGGTTCAAGCCCCCGCCCCCTCCCCCTCCCCCTCCCCCTCCCACTCCCACTCCCACAAAAAAAAAAAAAATAATATTTGTCGACCTTTTAAAGTAGTTAAAATTCCATTGAAATCTATTTTTTCTATAAGTTCAATCATATATAAGAATGGTGTTCACAAAATTACTAATTGATTTAAATTTGCTACAAGCATGAAGGTGGTAGGAATACAAATTTCTTGGTTACAAATGTAAACATTTGAAAGTTTAAATCTTATGTTTAACTTTGATCCATCAACCATACTTAATGACTGAGTTATTTTCTCAAAATATTTTTTAGGAATTAATCTTTCTTTAATATAGTTCATATCTGCTCCACTGTCGATTAACGCAATTGTTTCAACAGTAAATTCTGGATTTGTTACAAGTATAATTTTAGCATACCATTTTAAAAAGCTATTTTTTTCTAATATATTTCAATATTCATTATAAGAGTTTAGCTCTTTTGAATCCTTAACATCCTCTTGGATAATTGACATTTTTTCTAATGCCAGAAGTATTTGTTTTATTGTTTTTTTTCAACCTTATGTTGATTGACTTCTCCTTTAAGGTCTTGTAACGAAAATTCATTTTCTTGAATAACCTTAGTCTCGGATCTATTAAGGACTTCTTTTAACGAATATGATTGAGACAAATAAGGTTTCTTCTCTTCTAGAGTTATTTTCCATATATTGCTCAATAACTTTTCTTTTAGATACTTGATCTTGAATTTGATCTATAAGATCAAGAATTAATGTTTGTGGCTTAGTTAAAGTATTTATACTTAATCCATTCATATCTAAAATAACTTTATAATAATTAGTTTGTACTTTACAGTATGATGAACAAGTTTTATCTTGTTCTGATTGATCTTCTTTTGATGATAAATTGATTATTTCATTTTCAATATTACATATTCTTCATCAGAAGAAGAATTATCAGAAGACTCTCCTTCTTCACTTTTTGAATTTAGCACTATTTTTAGAATTTTATCTTTAAGATTTTCATCAAGTATTAATTCATTTATTTTTTGTTTAGTTAGACATTTAGGAGTAATATGTCCTATCAATTCTTTATCTGCAAACATTTATGAATTGCACAAATTTGTTAGGGCATATTCTATAGCATAAGTGAAGCTATATGGAAATGATCCATCATCCATAGTCATAAATTGTTTAGCAATATAGTATGGATCAATCATCTAATTAATATATTCATCATCTAAGGTCAAAATATGCGAGTCAGAGAATTTTTCCGAGGGTGGGGATGATAGTAATGCTCCGTTTGGTATGATAGAAAAATGGAATGATGGAAAGTTAGAGGAAAAATAAAATATCATGTTTGGTAAGGAAGTAAAATAGAAAGGATGAAAAAGTGGATGAATTAACTTTCTTTCTAACTCACAAAATCAATTCCTCTAAAATCAGAAAGAAAGTTAATGAAAAATTAATTATTTGTATTAAGATATATATACAAATATATACATCAACACGAATCTGACATGACACGACTCAATTATCACCCCAGATTTTAGCCGGCGAAAAAAAAAAAAAAAAAAGTTGGTCATTTTTATTTTTCATTCATCCAATCAAATACAAAAGAAAGAAAATATATCATTCCTTTTTTTTTTATTTGAAAGATAAAAAATACAACTTTTTTACTTTTTATCGCTCATATCAAACAAACGGTGAGTTATTGCACTACGGGAAACCTTAGCCAGAAAGCTGTCTCTAAGGATTCTTAGGGAGGAAGAATTGTATTCAGATACTTTTAGTCTTTTTTCTTATAAGTCATATCGATACCTGTGTCAAACATGATCTCTTCATGTTAGATAAACTCTCTATCCAAGAGAACTGATATTCTGTTAAGGGAAGGTTCTGACCAAGAAGTCTATAGACAGGTGGTCGCGAAGCCGTGTGGGTCGTAGAGAATCCTAAAGAATTTCAAGTTGTGGAGGTGTTACAGCGTTGACATCCGTCGACGGAACCAGCGTGGTTATCTCAGAATTCTGCGAGGTAAAAATGGTTTATTTTGACAGTGAGTTTTATGTTATGCACAGAGGAAGATATGATAAGTTAAGAAGTAGGAAAGAAAAGCATTAAGAATAAAGATCTTCTCAACCTCTTACTTTAGAATCATGAATGTTTTTTTATGAATATCATAGATAATATTATGATGTTAAACAATCAAATCAAATGATAACACTCAGGTACGTGGTTTAATTTTTCATAAATTAATTACTACACCTCAAAATAAAAGACGTATTAGATGGCAACAATTTTTTGCTGAATATAATTTTGAGATAGAATATATCAAAAGGATCCAACGATAAAAATAAAAAATAAAAAAACAATGTCATCCATCGCAGGTTTCTTATCCAGAGAATACAATGGATAAAACAAAAGACAGGTTGCAGGAAGCATTAAGCTTATGCCGCGAAGGACAAGATCTGATAGAAGACGGAAACGTGAAGATAAGAGACGGACAAGACAAGATAAATGATGGAAACTTCAAACTCATGCAGGGATTTGAAATAATAGATGATGTAATTGAAGAATTGCAGAGCCTATGCCCAGATATCAAAACAATGAAAGCTAAGGAGATGGTAAAAAGATTTGCAGGTGTTGCAACTCCCTCAAGGGAGCCAATGAATATCAAAAAAGATGCAGGTGTTGCAACTCTCTACCGAGGGCAGAAAGGTATGTTCATTGGAGATCTACCTCCTCAATATATTAGCGGCTCAGGCCTGCAAGATACTACGATCATTGCTCGCAAGAATACTACAGAATCTTCGATTCCACAAGAACAGGGAATTTCCGGAGGAAAAAAACTCCGCAAAAGAAAAAGAGATTTTAATACTCAATCTGAGAAAAAGATCAGATCAGAAGCTGATTATGATTTTGAATACAAAAAGATGGGAAAGATATTTTACGAATTAAAAACTTCTGAATTAATCTTCCCAGATCATACGGGTTTATACCAAGGATTAATGTTCTCCAGGGATGCGATCCAATGTTGGTCTTCAACCTTTTTAAATATGGATTTTTAAACCAAGTTTATTTAAGTCCATCCCTGGATGAAATAAAATATTTTCCAAAAAATATCAAAGTTGCAGCTTCAGAACTACAACAAGCAACTTCATCCACGGAGCCTCTGTTTGTCAATGTTCGGTCAGCATGTCCAGAGTATGAAGGCAACAAATGGCATCCTCTGATTTATATTGCTCGCATTGGAGTCTCAACCAAGGATTATAAAGTTACGATGCCTAAAGTTCAGATCTTTAAAGACTATCAAGATGAGATTTTCTCTCCCAAGGAAATTTCGATCAAAAGATCTCTAGGACTCAAGGTTCTCTATGAGCACCTAGAGAAACTTATGAAACAAAATATTTGGGTTGTACAAGCGACAACTGTAGACCTGGTATACACAAGTTGCAGGAAAGAAACCAACTTGATCAACAAACAGCGGATCGAGCAGATCAGAAAACACATTTTCCTCAATCTTATTGGTGGAAGTACAAGAACACACAAAGAGCTATGCCGTGTGTTGAAACATAACAGCTCGTGTGAATATTGTACAAAGGGCAAAGAAGTAATAGCAGAATCAGAAGACGACAAATCAGACTACTGCAGCCTGTAGAGATGTAGAGTGGTCCTCAGAATACTCCCAAGCCGGAAAGGTCAGACGGAATCTCCTTTTTCAGGGGCTGGGGATGATAATAATTGTACTACGGTGAACTTTAGCCAGCCAGCCAGCCAGCTGGGATAAGGTGGGTTAACTCCGATAAAGCGATGTTAATAATGTAGTAGGGTAGGGTCCAAAGCAGACGGAAATTGAAGATCCTTTGTACCGAAACCTGTTTGACGAAGAAATCAATCAAAGAATCTTCTGGCATTTATTCAATATCTATCTATCTATCTATCCTTCAAACTCTTTGTAGATATATCTGTGTGTGCAGACTGCAGAGTGTGTGCATTAAGCTTCAACTTTGCCTCTCTCTCTCTCTCTGTGTATTTATTTATACAGGTGGCTTTTCTGTGTGTTTGCTTCAGCCGGGTGTTTTGAGGGGTCTCGTCTCCCGCATATATCCAATTCAAATAAAGGATAGGATTGGTCCAGTATAAGGGTTATCTAATTCTTCCTTTTGTAAATATTTAGCCTGTGTAGAGGCGCTATTTATAACTTTGACCAGCTCCTGTGTCGATGTATTACCTTGCGTGTGAAAATCAAAAGGAAAGGATAAAGAGTAAAACTAAAAATTTCACGTACTATAAATATTCGCAAAATATTCATACATTTTATTTAGGAAAAATTTCAGTCATACCCCTTCTAGTTTATCATATTTTCAAGGACACCTATCTATTATCAAAAAAATCACTAACACTCAGTCTAGTTTATATTTAAACATAATTGACACCCCTATCATTAAACCATCATTTACAACAAATATAAATTATCTAAGATAACGAAATTCCCCCTATAGAAACTCAAAATAATTTTTCTACATAAAATTCAATTAAAAATTAAGCCAATTAAATTTTATTTTTTCACATATTAAAATTCGAGCTGATTAAAATTCTTTTTTCTATATATTAAAATTTGAATCGATTAAAATTCGGTTTGAGCTAATTAAATTTTTTTTATAAATTAATATTCGAGCCTATTAAAAGTTTTTTTTTACGTATTAAAATTCGAACCAATTTGAGCTCTACTTGAGCTATTTTGAGTTGATTAAAATTTATATTTTTTATTTATTAAATTCGATTTAAGTTGATTAAATTTTTTTTTTTACGTATTAAAATTTGAGTCAATTAAAATCTATATTTTTTTATGTATCAAAATTCAGGCCAACTAAAATTTAATGCGAGTTGATTAAAATTTGATTTGCGCCTTAAATAGAATTTTAATTGGTTCAAATTTTAATACATAAAAAATATAATTTTAACTAGCTCAAATCAAATTTTAATTAACTTGAATTTTAATACATAACAAAATTTTAAAAATAGAGGGAGTTTCATTGAAGATATGTCTGTCTAAAAAGAGTGTGGATGAATTTTTTCCTAAAAAATATCTTAGGCAATTTAGTAAAGTTGCATTGTAATTAACACTTTTAATTTGACAGGATGTGTCAATGAAAATTCAGAAAATAGAAAGGGTATTCTTGAAGATATGATAAACTAGGAGTATGACTAAATTTATTTATTTATTATTAGATACTTTTGGCGTGTATTTGATACATATCCTCGAATATCCGATTAGTATCGTATCTGATACAAATATGTCAATTTTTTGACTAAATTTATTTATTTATTATTAGATACTTTTGGCGTGTATTCGATACATATCCTCGAATATCCGATTAGTATCGTATCCGATACAAATATGTCAATTTTAACGAAATATCCATGTTTCATAGCTACAAAGTATCCAAATATTTTATAATTATCGGATACATATGAGGAGTATTTGATATGTATCTTCAAATATTTGACAAATATTATATTAAATGCGATATTCAATACGAGTACGATGATCTCAACAAAATATTCGTATTTGATAGCCCAATGACCAGGTACCTAGATGCACCATGATAAGCTTGTCAACCCTCCCCATTCAAAACATACCATGCCAAGTATGACAACCAGTGATATGAAAATTAAAGTGCTCACTCGACAAAACATGGAATAGACTTGAGGAAAACAAAGGGGCTAACAAGCCTCGATACATTCAATCTATAAGATGCATAATCAACATTCAACCAGAGAAATGACAAAAGGGAAACACAAAAATGAACACTACAACAAGAACTCTAAACTTCGCAGTTGTATTGTTCACAACGTGAGAAGAACAGTCCTTTGAACTAGTAAGAGCAAGAGGTGAATCAGAGCTTACCGTCAAGCACGCGAGTCCTTCAGTGTGATATAAATGACCTTACAAAATAAATATCATTTGTCAATAACAAAACAAAATCCTACAATCAAAATAATCAACAATCAGGCAAGTTTACTAAAAATAGACAGAAAACTTTCCCAAAAACAAAGACACTGTTCACTGACTACAGAATATCCTGCGTCAGATGGTACCATTGACAAAGACTTAGACAAAAGGGGAATTCTACGGTTAAGACTCCGGCGCCGTACCGCTACTTACTACTTTTATGGTAAAATTATAATTCATAAGAGAAAAGTTATAATTATTCAAGGGAAATATGATCGATCACAAATACACGATTATGGACTTTCCTTAAGAAGTTGTAACTTTTCCTTTATGAGTTATAATTTGACCTTTAAAAATTATAATTTTGGTATCAATCACAATTTATAATGATCGATCATGACTTTTAAAGGTTGTAACTTACATCTCAAAAAAATTATAACTTAATCTTAAATGATGAAAATTTTGGTATGGTATTGAAGTCGGTACCGTAGCATTCCCCAAGACAAAAATATGCAGTGCCCATATCAGGGTACGAAGATAACAATCATAGCTACCCTGTACCACATTTTTTAGCCACCAATCTTTATGTCCCCACCTTGTCTGAAATTACTCTTAGCTCATCGCAGGGCCGCCCAGCATCCACCTCCCAAGGGAAAACTGTGGTTAAATTTCACCGTTTGATAAACAAATAGCTGTGTCTGGGGTCTTCTAATCCTCTAGGTTGTAACGTTTTTTGCTGACTTCCAAAAGCAAATCTCTCTTTAGCCATGCTCCAATTCCCTTGGCATATTCCTCATCAAATTCCCTACGGAAAGTGAATCTTTTTGTCTGAAATTACTCGATGCTCATCGCTCAGCTGCCAACATTTACTTCCCAAGGGAAACCTGTGGTTACACTGAATTGCTTTATAAACTAGTACCTGCATGTGTCTGTTGTCTTCTAATCTTCTAGATTGTAATGTTTTTTCTTAATTCCAAAAGCAAATCCCCCCAGGCATGTTCCTCATCCAATTCTCAATCCCCATTTTGACCAGGTGGTATTTTTTTAATATGTTACTTTTCATGTTTCTGGTGTTAGCCTGTTTTTGCCTTTCTATTGATCCATTGAATTGAAGGCTATTTCCAAGTGTTAGATATCATAACTTCAGGGGAAAAGTAACTATTTCTAAAAGAAGACACAGAGCTATAAAGCCTGGGTGTTTGCAGGAATCAAGGGATCTTAAAGTACCTATTGGAGAAGAGGGTGAACCTACTGTTGGAGGCAATAAGACCCACGAATCCAAGCTGCATCATATGTACTTTCACACGTGGGAGTTCGAAGATTCACAAAGGAACTTGAAATAGTGGCAAACTGAATAAACAAGGGGGAGATTAGAAGACCTCTGTTTATTAAAGATTGTTTAAAAGATCACTTAAATAAATCTTTCTCATCCCCTATATGACAAGAACTCTACGCATGCAGGGTGGACAACCAATTTGCTGTGGACTCTGGTGTAGTTCAATTAAAATTCTTATCTCCATACGTTTTATTTAGAATTTCTAGTAACACAAGCTCATATTTATGTTATGAACAAGAATATTTCGAAGTCTTCATTAAGGATGCTTCCAGTTTAAGACAAACTGACAGTAGTATATTAGGAAACTGGAACTGTCAAGTACAAAAAAAGAGGACACACTCCTTTCACATAGGAATTCAAAGTACTAAAATAGAGCAATGCTATTGAGATTTAATTTACTGATATAATTTGTTGACCTAATTCATTGTGACCTTTAGATTGATTGTAAGCCCGTCAAATATTAGAACTTGGTGTCGATCCAATAATTCTTATAAAGTCACATCATTATATCAGCAAATTAAGTCAAATTTTTAAGTCTAAATAGCATTATTCATTAAAACACGAGACTCTGTTCAAAGCTTCTCATTCACAAGTTTCATACTTCAAGAACAAAGAGGAATGCTATGGAATCCAAGAAAAACCCACGTATTCTATCAACTCAACATAGTTCTGTTGTAAAATTTGAAATTGTGTTTCTGCATGTGCTTAATCATTTTGAGCTGAAGCATAAAAATGTTGGGAAACTCTTAGTATATTCTTCTTCTCTTCTTACTAGCCAACACTAAATGTCATCCACAAACTCGACCCTAAATATGTCAAGGTTTAAATATTTTCTTGAATGGTGAGCACAAAAATATCACCCAATAATAAAATGACACATGATAGAGTCGTCTAAGGATTGGGGGATATCAATTATTAAGTTCAATGTTGAGCACAATTCACAGTTCAAATTGAGGAATTATAATTGAACACAGAGGGCAATGACAATCCAATCAATTTCCCAAAAGTGAAATTCAATTACTTACCGGATAAAAAAAAAAAAGACATTACTGGCCTGAAGGTTCAATACAATACAATATAGAAATTGTCAGGACAAAATTATATGATTGATGACATCAAATTGGGGAAAAAAAGAAAATCCAAGAAGCTTGAAATTAAAACAATCTCATACAGCGAGTTGAACATCGCCAAGATCAAGCTGAGCAGCAATCTCTTCAAGCTGTTTCTTCACACTCATATCAATCAACTTTGAAGCCCCACTTCCATACCTAATCGTGAATCCAGCAACCAACGACTCATCAATCACAGTCTTAATCCTCACATTCTTCGATCCAGTAAGTTTCTGAACTCCTTTTGCTATCTGCGCTAAGTGTTGCGACCCCAATTGCACCACTGACGTAACTATCACCAGCTCCGTATCCGTCAATTTGTTATAAGCAATCTCAAATTCCTTCAGAATCTCGCTAATAAGGTCGATTCTCTTCATATCTACTAAAATATTTAGGAAATTTGAGGTATGAGGTTGAAGATTTGAGGAACTGATGATTTCGTCGAGGACATCACGTTTTTTGGCGATGTCGACAGTGGGATTTGAGAAGAAGTAGAAGACTTCAGAGTCGGAGAAGAATTTCTCCACCTTTTCCATGTCGGCCGAGGTGGCTTCTAGGGTTCCATTGGAATTCGCCACCTCAGCAAGGGCGTTGGCGTAGCTTCCTGCGGCGGAGTCGGCCATTCTGGCACCGTGACGGCGGGGTCTTCCGGCGACCTTGACGGTGATTTTTGGGAGTTTGAGTGACTTGAAACCTCCAGAAAATGAGAGGTTTGTTGTTCTTCTGGCTATAATTTGGGTTGATGGTGGTGATCGGGATTGAAATGTGATCGGAGTTTGTTGTAGAGCAGCCATTGTTGCAATCGGAGGGAGAGAGAGAGAGGGGTGTGGATTCTGCAAATTTTGTTTCGTTGGTAAGAGGTTTTTGATAATATTGGACGGTTAGGATTGTAAAGGATATAATGATCAGCGGTGAAGAAGAGATTGATTATATTTCATTGGGGAATGATGGCCTCTCATCTGGAGCAGATAACGAGTTGGCAAATGTGTGCCACACATTGGAGGGTAGAGGAGCTGAGGAACACAACCGTATTAAAATTTATAATTTTTTAATTGGATAATTACACTCAAGCCTCTTAAAATTTGTTACTTAATTACTAAGGCTCTCTAATATTTAAAATATTATACACAAACCCTTTAAAGTTTGTACGTGCGAAACATTATACTAATTAGATCCCTAAAATTTGTAGATATATACTAATTAGATCCTTTAAATTTAAAATATTATACTTAGATAAAAAATATTTCAATCAAAGATAGAATATCAAATATTTTAAATTTTATAATTAAAATTCATGTTTTATTGTATCATTTATTGAAATAAAATTAAAATTTTAATTATAAAATAGAACATAAATTTTAATTATAAAATTTAAAATATTTAATATTTTATCTTTAATTGAAATATTTTTTATCTAAATATAATATTTTAAAATTAAAGAATTTAAATAATATATGTTTACAAATTTCAGGAGATGTAGATATAATTTATTAATAGATATATTTATAGCAGGGTCTAAGCGTTAGACACATACAAATTTTAGAAGATTTGTATATAATATTTCAAATGTCAAGAGTTTGAGTGATTAAGTGACAAATCTCAAGAGATCTGTGTATAATTCTCTCTTTTTTAAAATAAAATTTTTGATTTAATATAGTTATAATCTCAAAATGTTGAACATAAAAATTAAAATTATAACTTTTAGAGTTGTAATTATAATGACTATGGTAATTATGATCAATCATGATATATCTTGATCGGGTATAAGTTATCTCAGTTAGAGTAGAATTTTACCAAAATGTCCTCCTCCAGACAAAGTTCATATTAGACCACACTTATAAACCAATTTTTTTTTTATAACCCCGGGTTAGCCATGCATGGAGCATCGCCTATAAACCAAATTCTAGATCTATATAATTCCCTTTAGTTATAAATATTTGTGCGTCCAACGGTCATTAATAAAAGTTGAATCCAAAATATTTAAATTTATAATTTATCATAAATTCTGATTCAAATTTTAAAAATAACAAATCTTTTGAGATTAAGTCGTGAGAGATTTATTCTTTATAAACTCTCTAATCTCGTCGTAAATGACCTACATTTGATCAATGTGAATGACCTGCAACTAATTGAACATCCTTAATTGCAATACCAAAAACATAAATAAATTATGCATGGTTTTTGTAGTTGTAGCGGGAAGTAAAAAAAAAAATGTTCTCTCATTTGTGATTTGTTTGCAAAAATGTAATAATAAAATTTATATCAACACTATAATGGTTACCTAGTTTTTACTCCTACTAGTCCTTCAATTATCATAAATACATCAAATCATTCGGTATAAAAAATTTAATAAAATTTAATAAGGTTCAACTTTATTAAAATTTTCTGGGGAAAAAAATTAAATATTCACAATTAAAGTTTGGAAGGGTATAATATCGGGTGCAGCTCCTCTAAAGTTACCCCAAAAACAGCACACAGTGCTGTTTACCGAATACGGCACCGTTTCGATAACTTTTGCACAGTTAACACTCTTATTCACCCAAACGGCACCGCTTCAATTTATTCTGTACAGTAAATAATGGGTTAATTGCCCTAGAGTTTTCCAAATATAAAATTTGTTTTATTTTGATCTCTAATGTTCAATCGCATCATTTTAGTCCTTGTAGTATTGAATATATTTTTATATGGTTCTTCAAGCAGACAACGTTCAGATTGTTAGTAATTTTTTATCATAAACTTATCGCGTAATATTTAAATATGGACGAAAAATAATTTTGATAACTCTTAAATAAAATTTGGGTACCACTTGATAAAAAAGTGTAATATGGGTAATTTTTGACCAAAATTTTGATAACTCATAATCAAAATTTTGTAATTTGAGTAGTTATTTAATCAAAATTTTAATAGAAATTTGGTCAAGAATTATCCAAATAATTTTTTTGTCTATATTTAAGTATCACTTGATAAATTTATGGTAAAAAAATTATTAACGATCTGGATATTATTTGTTTAAAGGGTTATATAAAAATATATTTAATATTTCAAGAATTAAAATGATGCAATTAAAATATTAGAGAATAAAATAAGATAAACTCTATACCTTTGGACTTCTGATACAATTAACCCATAAATAATCAAACAACTTTCCCCAAACACACCCAAGTTCTTGACACTACATTTGCTTGTTAGGATGAATAGACTTCGCAGCCATAGCATAGCAGATCGATTTTCTTTCTCCGGCTTGAGATGCCTCCTTCAATACTCAACATCTACGGCCCATTTCATGGTGGATTACCTCATCGACTCACTTGGGTTCTCAAGAGAAGAAGCAATCTCAGCATCAACAAAGGTAACTCATTTGAAATCCCCCAAGAACCCTGATTTAGTTCTCAATCTCCTCAAACAAATTGGTTTTGACAACACCCAGATCAAAAACATTGTTTTTTCTGCACCTACACTCTTATCATCTGATGTAGACAAAACCCTCAAACCCAAAATTAGGGTTCTTCAGGACCTTGGCTTATCCGGGTCAGACCTAGCAAAGTTCATCAAGGGTAATCGAGGCCTTTTTAACAGAGGATTGGACACCCATATCATACCATCTCTTGACTACCTCAGAAGAGCACTGCGGAGTGATGAAAATGTGATTAGAGCTCTGAAAAGATCCCAATGGTTACTAACATGTAATACCCTTAAAAAAATGCCACCCAATGTGTTATTGTTACGAAAATGTGGGTTGTCAATTGAGAAAATTGAAAAATTTATAATTAATAACCCAAGATACGTTCTACAAAAGCCTGAGTGGCTTGAAGAGATAGTGCATAGGGTTGAAGAGGAGTTGGGGATTCCTCGCGTCTCTCGGATGTTTCTCTATGGTATTGATGCTCTCGCTTCGAGTAGTAAGTCGACATTAGAAAGGAAGTTTGGAATCTTTAGGAGTTTTGGGTGGTCTAATTCCGAAATAAGTACAATGGCAAGGAACTTACCTTATTGTTTAAGCCTGTCGGAAGCTAAAATCCGAAATGCATTGAATTATTTCATGAAGGAAATTGGGTATGCACCTGGATACTTGGCTTCTCACCCCAAGCTTTTAATGCACAGTTTGGAGAAAAGGGTGGTGCCTAGGAATGAAGTCTTGAAGATTTTGATTGAGAAGAAACTGAATAAGAGTAAACAAAGTCTTTATGCAGTTGTGTGCTTAACTGAGTCGAAGTTTATAGAGGATTATGTGCTGCCCTACAAGAACAAGATGCCGGATCTGTATGGAGCATACAACAACAGAATGAGACAATAATAGAGGGTCAAAGAATTTCTTTTCCCTTACATTTTTGAGGTAAGGAACTTGTTGTAGTTTGTTCAATTCGAATTTTGTAAGTTGAAGCAATTCAAATCACTTGTTAATGCTATTCTTCCTTGAATTATTTTTGCTATTAATTCACTCTATAATGCACCATCAGTGTCTCACCATTTATATTGTAACTGAAAGCAAAAAAGTTAGAGAGTCGAAAGTGCTTTCAGAATTGGTGTAGGGAAGGATTAGAAGGGAAAAGCTCTTTCCGCTTAGCCACATCAATTACATGAGAGTCTAAATGGAGATCATGGGACTTAAAGTTGGCTTGAGTCAAGGATATCACTTTATTTTATTTTTTTGGATCTATTTTATTCCACCCTGTGTTACTGGATAAGTATTGCAATTAACCAAATGAAGGAATGAAAAAATGTCAGTCAAAGTTGCTGTTTTTCAAGTTGGGGACAAAGAGGATAGAAGAGGCCAGAAATTCTTGTTGCTAGTGCACCTATACTTGAAGCCACATCTGAAACTGAAAGAGAGGGTGTCAGCTCATCAATTTTGTCCCAATAGCATTATATCTGCTTGCACCTCGATGCTTGAATCACATAGTAAAACCAAGGTAAAACGTATCACTTCTTTCACAAGTTTGCATGAGTTTGATACACGTATTGATCGCGGAGGCACTCTCAGTTTCTCTATCTTCACATCAAGATGTTTAGAGCACAAAAGTGCCAATTAAACACCATCTAAGGTTGGAATTTGAAGTTTAGTGTATTTTTTGGCTTGCACATTGTGAACATAAAGCTCAGAAAGCCAATGTTAACAATCTTGGTTTTAATACAATGTGTGATTCATCACTAATTTTGATGAAATTAGTCCTAGGCCTGGTACATCGATGCCATTTATTTATATGCCCGCCTATGTGGGAATTCCTAGGAGGAGTCTTGGAATTTTGCTCGTAGTTCAAGGGAAGTATATAGTCTATCGCCAAATGGCAGAGTTGGTATTAGGCTTCCCCTCCCCTGTTCCAACCCCGAACCCCAACTCTTCTTCATTTAGCTTGTCTTGATTTTCTCATTTCTCCTTTTTTACCTAGTGTAGGAAGGGGGTTATTGAGATCTGTAACATAGACCAAAAAATGTAGGAATCATGCACGAAACGAGAAAGGAATGCCTTTTAAACAACTAGAAAAGTTGTAGCAGCTAGAAGAATAAGATCTGCAGGCTTCCCAAATGAACAGATTATAAATACATAGCCAAGAATACTCTCTGAAACAGTGAAACTATGTGCTGGCTATATGGCAAATCTCTCTGTATATCAATTCGCCTGCATGCCTTTCATGAAAATTCCACCTCCTCTTCCCTATGCCAGGCATGGTAAGTCAAAAGTAGTCCACCTTACTTTCTGAATTGTGGAGGGAATTTTTTTCGATCTAATGTTGTTTTCTGCCATGCTTGCTATGTCTTCATTTTGTCCTTTTTTTTTTCTTCTGATCCTACTGGGGATGATGACGATGAAGCAGTAACAGCGGAAGGAATTGATCGGCTCAATGATCAATCAATATACTTACTTAGTCATTTTGTTTGAAGAAGTGCCAATAGAAGGTACTATAACATAGCTGAGGTGAATATACTTAGTAGAAAATGCATTCTGTGATCGGTCATCATTTCTGCTGCCTAAAACCAATCACAATGATGGTCCATGGTGGTTCCTGTGAAGCGCTTCCTATAGACATAACATGGGTCCCCCCCTCTTCGGCAGAAGGAGGAGCAGCAGGGCACATCCTTAATTGGGGACAATCAATTATGATGATGCATGTATGGTAGAAAATAAAGCATCGAAAGAAAGGTGAAGAGAAACTTTAATAGAAACACAACAGAGCTTTTAAATGAAGGATAGACATGAGACGTACATAAAATCAAGCACACAAATTTTTACAACTCACCCAACATCAACAACAGAATACATAAAACCTAAGAAGAGCAATAAGCCGAATTCTACACATCACCTCCAAGTACAAAAGGATTTCTATTCATCCGACTGTTCAAATGGAACGACTTAGGAAATACAACTTTGAGGTCCTAAGTTTGATTCTTACGAGAGTTTGCTTTACACTAAATTCGTGATTTGCAACAAATTTGTTTATCCAAAATTTGTATTGTAAATATGAGTCAAAACGATATGTTGAAACATGCCTAGTCATAATTAACGTAGCTTAAATTTTGTCAAACTTGGAAATGTAGAACTAGTCAAGGAACTCTTCGAGGATAGACTTGAGAGAAACCAAGATTTTATGTAGTTAAGAAGATTCCAATCCTCTTAATCTCAGAAATGTACTTCGATGGAGGGATGAGAAAATTTTCATTTTAGCATATGGTTTACACAACCAAGACTAATTTCATCCTCAAAACAGAGCGTAGTTATGTCCTAGGGGGGTCATGGTCGCCATCAATTTTTGAAAATCTTATTGTTCAGTCACTGCTTAGAAAGTGGCCCCATTGGGATTAGCTATTGATTGTGACTACTAGTGTAATCAAATATTCAAATGTACCTACATAGACGTTAAACTTGAGCAAGCACATGTATTATGTATTCTACTTTTAGGTGAACTCAAGTAAATGATAATTACAACGACCCCAGATACTGCCAAAGCATTTATGCCAAGAGAGAAAAACATATATTAAAGAAATCCCTTTGCAAGTTTTCAAACCATTGAAACTTCATGAGTTATCAATGTAAATGTTGTGATATTTCCTTGTCATCTCTTACTTGTGCCTTTGAGTGACTTATTCCTATATAAAGCTTCATTTGAATCTACTCTTACTCAATGTTTAATTGTTTACATGTGATTGAGAGAAATGAGACCAATGAGATACTGGAGGATACCAACACCCGCTCATTCATTTTCATTCACCATTTTCCCCTGGTTACCTCTCTCTACAAATTTTCATTTTCTTGTCATAATTCCTTTTTTATGCAAGTTACCAAAAATAAATTATGTCACACTACCTAAATTTCCTATTTGTTCATATCTTGCATGTTTTTGAGCGTAAACTCATCTAATAGGGATCATATTACATTTTTCGATTCTGTTTAGTTTTTATGATATCTTACTCTACGAATGACAATTGCTGAGGGTTCTGTATTTCATCAAAGAAAAAAAAAAATTGTTCTTGCATTTTATTTTTTATGTTGTCTTGTCTCTCAGAGGTAACCAAAGATTTATCCTGTGCATGGAACTCATTAATGTTAAAAAGTTTCATTTTGTAGTTCCTACTATTGATGGGAAACCAAATTTTTTAGTTATTAATGTCTTTGAATTTGTCTCTTTTTTATTATCCTATAGATTTATTTTATTTTATTTTGGGGTGAGGGTGAGGGTGAGGGTGAGGGTGAGAGGAGAGAGACTTGAACCTTTGACCTAAAAAAAATAAAACTTTCACAAGATAAGAAGTACCATTGAATCAAAGACCCGTCGGTAATTATCCTATAGATTGTATCATCCTCTTATCTATATAACAAAATCTAATCATAATTCAAAACATAACCCTTCACAAATCAATTGGGAAACTTTTCACAACAATAATGCCTCCATTTGACCCTTGGCAACTAAGCAAAAGCCAACGGAAAATAGCACAATATGGTTTCGTTTCTTAGACTTCACGCAGCACTCCCCTTCCTTCACATCACCCATTCAAGATTTCTAAATAGGCCAAAAACACTGATCACACATTACGCAGCATTACGGGCCAATCCATGAGCCCAAAATATCAAAATAAATATTAGAGGAATTAAAAAAAAAACTAAAACTTTCACATTCTCAAAGCAATCTAAGTAAAAAAGTTAGGCACTAAAAACTAAAAGGTTAAAAAAAAAACTTCATCTAAGCACCAAGCTGGTGCCAAATGTATAACATTGATTAAAATTAGTGCACGTCCACACAATTGTATTATTACAACGCATCAAAACTATATGGTAAAACCCACAGAAATATGGCAAAACCAATAAAAGCCCATAAAGCTAAAGGAAATAATGCAAAAGTTGTAAAACCGACAAATATCATTAAGTTCAAGACCTCATACCTCTCAGTTGTTCAATAACTCATACCGCTAAGTTCAAGAAACCAATATCTATACCCAAATAAGCAAATTTTATGAAAGTGATGTAATAAAAAAATTATTGTGTATTAAACCACATACAATTATTGATCGAGAGTAAAACTAATCAAAAAACAAAATAAAAGAGCAAACAAAGAAACAAATTCAACATTCATGCAGTTCACCTTATTAACCTATTAACACGTCCAACTCAGAATTTCAGCCATAAAAACCAAAAGAATATCAGTTGAAAGTTTAGAGAGAAAAAACATGGGCTTGATTTGAGATTGTGCTTGCTTAGATAACTAAGGGTACGTAACTTTTTTCTTAAGAGTTTTTATTTTTCCTTATGTGCATGATTTGTTATATAATTCAGATGTGGCACCTCATTGAGAGTGGCAAGTTCTGTCTATTTGGGGCTGCATGTTTTGACATGCATTCCCCAAATGAGAGGGACACTGGAGTATGCTTACTGTACCGCTCCACAGGTAGGTGCTACTTCCCGGATTCATGCCCCTTGAGAGGCATCCCTACGCCACTTCCGTACGTGCCTCGTAGGTCAAGGGAGTAAGATTTGGCAGCAACGGAGGGAGCAGGATTTGGCAGCTAAGCAAATACTTTATGTATAACGGTCTCAATTGAACCTTCTTATATTCTGTACGTAGCACACAAACATGATGTGTTTCCTTTCCAAATTTGTCAAATTTGGTAGTTAAGCGGATACTTTTTGGCCTAAATGTTTGTACGTAGAATGGTCTTTATTGAACCTGCTTATATTATGTACATAGCACACAATCATGATATCCTTCCTTTTCAAATTTGTCGGATTTTATAGCTAATTAAATATTTTTTGACCTGAATGTTTGTACGTAAAACGATCTCTATTGAACCTACTTATATTCTGTATGTAGCACAAAAACACGATATCGTTCTTTTCTAAATTTGTCGGATTTGGTAGCTAAGTAATTATTTTTTGGCTTGGATGTTTGTATGTAGAGGAGTCTTTATTGAATCTGCATATATTCTGGATGCAGTGCACAAACATGATATTTTTCCAATCCAAATTTGTCTATAAATTTATGCTACTAGTACTTTGATCAACAGAGGAGAGAATGATTTGATATAAGGTAGGGCTAAAAAGGCCAGCGGCTACATTTTTTTTTTCCTTTTTGTTTTTTATTAGACCAACTACTTTTTTTTTTTTTTTTGCTGGTTATAAAAAAGGTTGGGAACAAGGAAGATCGCCCAAAGATCACCCCGATAGGTCCTCACCGGTGGTATCATAAGGCCGCTGACCGCGCCTGAAACACTTTTTGGGACCAAACCTAACTAGGTTAGCACAGTGGCCAACCACCAAGTCCCAATTGAGACTCTAAGACTCGAACTCCCAACTTCAAGGTGAGGAGTACGACCGGTACCCCATTAGACCACCCCTACTTGACGGTTATTAAACCAACTACTTGACTTGTCCAATTTAGGATAACTCTCCCAGTTCAAGTGGGTTTTATTAAAATCGCTAGATTTACTTGGTTTCTATATGGTTTTATACACAAACGATCCAATATATAACCCATGAGTACATTAAAAGAAATACATAATAAAGTAATATTATTGAAATCTAAAAAATTAGTCTAATTTATTAACTTAATGATATGTCATGTAATAAAGTTCCAATGAAGAAGTCTAAGGTTAGAATTGTAACGATTCTATTAAACCACGTTGATGTTATATTATTAGGTTAAGAAATTAGATCAAATTTTTAAATTCAAATAATATTAATCATCATACATGATAATATTGCTTTTAAAATAACCCACTAAGGGGTTAATGTTGTGTGGTTGATCTAGCTATCTATATGATTGTATTGTATAAAATTAATTCAATAAGTTCTTTATAAATAGAAATTTGACGTTAACAAAAACTATTGAATAACCTTGTTCAATAAAATTTTGTTTATGCTACGATTTGACATTCCTAAAAATAAAATTCTAATTCTGTCCTTGGGCGAGAATAATAAGATTCTAATTCCATCCTTGTGCGAGAATAATAATAGATATCCAAGTTCGCACAGGACAGTGGTAATTTCAATAGATTATGCAACTATCACAAGCCTTTTGTGATAAATCTACCGGTTAGGATTGGAGTCCGTTAAGCTTGCCTTCTTTACATGTCTAGCTATAATCTTCCGGTCATCAATTAGAGACACAAAACGTGTGCACTTTGAATTCATTGACTTAGAGCAACTTCAAGAGTCTTAATAAACTCCGTTTCTTAGTTATTTTATAAAGGTAGTCTTTAAATTTTGTCTCCAACGGACTAACTATTTTCCATAACTTTCAGTCTGTTATTCTTGGCGAGACAAAGAAGCTAGGTATTGTCTTTTTGCGCTAACAACAACCCCCAATTTCACAGTCTCCTCCATTAGTTGTCTTCCTCAACTATCCAGAGAGTTCTTCGCAAAGACACCATCGACTAAAGGCTTTATTGCAGAAGGCTCCATCGATTGAAAGGCTTCTCCTGTTGGTCCACATAAAGACTCTTCACAGAAGCAAGTATGGTCTCTCTCTGTCCAAGAAAAATGGGGAAGACGATGAGTTGACGATTAAAATTCAATAAATCCCTCAAAAATCCAATACAATTCCTCCAAAATTAAAAAAATCTCCTAAAAATCCAATAAAACCCTCAAAAAAATCTAATAAAACCTCCAAAAAATTCAACAAAACTTTCAAAAAAATCTAATAAAACACCCAAAAAAATTCAATCAAGTCCCCAAAAAATCCAACAAATCCCACAAAAATACAGTAAAATCCCCCAAAAATCTAGCAAAACTCCCAAAAAATTTAGTACAACTCCCAAGTATTTTATGATATTTACTCTTGTAGCCCATCTATTATGATATTGACTCTTGTAACCCATAATTGATTAAATTTGTATAATGTATAGTTGAATTATTATTTTTAAAATTTTATTATTGAAAATTAATTAAAGGTAATTAAAGTGGATAGTTAAAATAGATAACGTGGTTAGAGTGAATTTAAAAAAATAGTTAACTAAAGTAAATAATATAATATTTAGAGTAATGCTACGTTGACTTAAAAATTAAACTTAAAAAGTAGACTTGATAATCTCAACCATTGAATAGGTAGTGAGCCTTAATAAATGCTGGAACCCATAATAAAATCAATGGTTGAGATTATTAAATCTATTTTTTAAGTCCACGTAGCATTGTTCTAATATTTAAATATATTTTAAGCAATTATTTAAATAGCAGGGTTGGAATTGCCCTTGCAACTCCAACGGGTTAGGCTGCCCAATCCGAAGTACAAAAATTCTAACCCTAACTCAACTTGAGCCCAACGAGCACGACTTTCAACCCGAACTACTCCATTCGAGAACTGCTCAAGTTATATTTTTAAAGCACGGGTTGATTTCGGCTCATAATTCGAGTTGAATTTGGGTTAACTAATTCGGATTAAACGGCAAAAAAAATGACCGTATCCATGATAAAAACAAGTTTGAATCAAACCCAAAAATTCTCAGAATCAGAATCAAGCAAACAAAAAAAAGAAAGATAAGAAGAGAAAAAGAGATGCTTTAAACATAAAGGACAGCAAAACACCACAAAAGTTGGATCAATTTGAAATAGAAAGACAAAGAACTCAATTAAACAAGCTCAAACATACCCATAAATAGGTGAAGAGAGATAAAGAGTTTACTTGAACAGCTCATAAAGAGCCATGAAAACCCATTGTTGTTTAGATTACAACAAGAACTACGATTCATGTCACCAGCAGTCGCAGATCAGCATATGCATTAGGCCTAGCAGTCGCAGATCGTCGTCTTGGTCTTCCTCAGTTATTGAGTCACAGAAAAAACCTAAGAGAGAGAAAAACCTGGAGAAGATTCTAAAAGCAGAGAAAAGATCGGTGGAGACGAAGACCAAGATGACGGAGAGAGAGGGAGAGAGGCGGAGAGAGATCAGAAATGGCTGAGGCTGAGGCTGAGGCTGAGGCGTGAAATCTTATGAGAGAGACCGAGAGCCACAGCGAGGCTGAGGCGTAGGCGTAGGCGTCAGATCTGTTCAGTTCTGTTTGGAGTGAAACTGATAGAGGCAGTGGAGAGGACAGCCTAACAAAACCCTAGCCTGTGCAGTATATATATTATACTACCGGTAAGAATATAAAATTCCAACTTCAAAAAAATCGATTTTATTATATTAAATAATAATTTTTCTTTTATTTATTTTTTATTATATTATTTAAATTTATTTTAACTAATTATTTTCTTAAACATATTGTCAATTTTTTTTAAAAATATGTAATTAATAAAATTTTCTTAAGATATGTATACTATCGATTATGATAATATCTGAAATAAAAATTATGTTAAATCATAAATTAATCAAATATTAAATAATTGTATATGTGATAAAAATGAATGATTTGATGGTTTTAAGAAAAAAAATATATATAAAGAATAAAATTCAATTTTCTATGTGTTTTTTTAAATTTGTCGGGTTGAACCCGATTTATATATTTGGGTTAAAACCGAGTTCATTAATTTGGATTGGGTTGGGTTCGAGTTGATTTTAATAACCCATATTTTTAACTTAAGTATTGCTCGAATTTAATTTGAGTTGAGTTTTTTTTGCCTAAATTCAATCCAAATTTTAAAAATCTCAACTCAAATCCTTTTTTAATTTTTGGGTTGAACTCAAGTTGACTCACCAAATTGCACCACTTACTTAACATTAACGTTCATTTGGTTAGCAAGAAAAAAAATGATGAAAATTGAAAATAATAGAAATTGAAGTATTTAATTAGTATGAAAAACTTTCGATAAAATTTTAAAAATATTTTATTCTATTGTTTGAAATAAAGGAAAGTTACTAGAAAATTTTGTCTAAATTATGTTTAATTAAGTTAACTCGGTCTAAAGAAGAAAAAAATATGAATTATAATTAAAAATTAAACTTTTTTTTAAAATTTCTTCTAACCTAATTCTGGGACAATGATTGACTCGAACTCATATATTTAGAATAGATTATATGGTTGGCCAAATTTGTATCAAGTTTTTTTTTTTTTAAAATTAACAACTAATTGAATATTTTAAAAAAATTAAGAATAAAATGGAAAGTTAGGTTATTGATAACAATCGTCTTGCATTTTCTTTTATTTTTTAAAAGAAAAAAATTAGTTAGTTGTGAACAAATTTAAACATACATGAAAAAAAAACTTCATTATTTTTCATTTCATGTTAGCAAAACACATAAAAAGTTTAAAAAATTTTAACTTTATTACATTTTCTATCATTATTATACTAAACAAACGTAGCGATTTGAATGTTTTATGGTGTGACTTTTTTTTTTGGATAAAATTCGGAATAAAAGCAAGGAAATTTAAATTGGACTAAATTCCAATTTCCTTTTGGGTTTCATATTATCTTGTTGTATCTTTGGGATTTGGGTTGAGACGGTGGGAAATTTGTTTTTAATAATTCATGAACTTTTATGCAACTATTGAAGAGTAAAGTTAGGGATCCCAAATTATACCTCAAATCAGTAGAGATCTTTAATCCGATCATCTAAGAATTTCAATTCATTTGGGTTGATTTCTAAATTTGGGATATTTAATATAAATTAGGAAATAACATATGGGTATAACTTTATTACGGTACAAGTAATAGTTGCTCTTAATATTAATGACCCGGAAGCTGAGTCTTTTAATAATTTTTTGTTAAAATTAGATTAGGCAATCAACAAGGTAAAGCAAGTAGAAAGAGAAAGCGAAAAGGTGAGAAAGAAATCCAAGTTTTAGAAAGAGTCATAGTAAGACCCCACCACTATGATGGCAATGCTTGTACTTTCCCCACAAAAACAAAACAGAATCCTAGTTTTCAAAGAGATAAAACTGCATTAATCCTCTATATAAAGGTTGTACGTACGTACCCTAAAATTCTATGAGAGAAATAGAAATAGTATGAGTTGAATACAGACCTCTATTGACTAAGAGCTTGGAGTAATTGGGAGCAGCACATTTGAAGAGTGAAGCATCATCTGCAAGAGACATAGAAGACTCAAGTTCGAAGCAAAGTGGGGAAAGAGAAAGAGAGAGAATTGGTCTGTTTTGGTTACAATTGATAACTGATGCATTCACTACAGATTTTGTACCTATTCTTAAATTTTGTAGCGTTTTCATTTACTAAATATAGCACATCAGTGATAGTAAAATAAAAATAAAACTGAAAAGATCCTTTATTGCTTGAGCAACTTTAATGAGATATAATTTAGGGACATAATTTGAAGATATAATGCATTGTGACCAATAGAGTAATGGTGGAATGCATTTAATGATGCAATGAGTCCAGGGGTGGAGCCAGAAAAATAGTTTAGGATGGGCACATTAATAAATTTTAATTTTTTTTATCAATGTTATAGATTTAATTCAATATATTTGTTATTTTAGTTGTAAATTTGAATGTTAAATGAATTTTACTTTAAATCAAAGGGGGTGCATTGAATTATGTTATCAAATTAGATCTAAAGAGTACTTTTCATTTTTTTTTTCAATTGACCACTTAAGTTCATAAATTCATATTTACTATAATTATGTGTAAAAATTCGTTAAACATAAAAGGTTAAAAAATGATTTTCATGTAATGAACAAACAAAAAATAAAAGTAAATTAATTAAAACTTTGTATAAGACTTATTATTATCATTTTGCAATTGAATCTGATTATTATTTATCATTTAAAAGAATTACAAATCAATGATATCAATAAATTTTTTTCCTATATACAAAATAGTAATAACAGTCTTTCATTTATTATCCTGTAATTTATTACATAATGACGCTCATTTCTATGTAATAACAAAATAATCCTATAATTTAGAAAAATGACCGAGATATGTCTAATAATTATTCGGACATGTCTGTGTCTAAAAATTTAAGAATAATAGTAATTGAATCTAATTCAAAATTTAATTTTACATCTTGACAAAAAAAAAAATTCTAAATTCAATTCGTAGGAACCCAATAGTTTGTGACCATTAGATGGATAGTAAACGTTATTAAATGTAATGGCTCACTATTAGATTTAATATCATAATGTATTAGTTTCAATAACATTATTTAAAAATTAATTATTATTTACGTAGTCGTCTATCTTAATTGATATCACAATAACACAATAATAATGTGGACACAATTAAATATGTCTAAGTTTTATTTTAAAAAATATATATCTAATGTCAAAAAAAATAATTAAGAGGGGGCACGTGCCCACCCTGGTCCAAGGGTAGCTAAACCCTAAATGAGTCCCATCATTAAATGTATTTCATTATAATTCATTAGTCACAATTCATTATGTCTCAATAACATTAGTGTTATTGCTCTATATCCATAGAGAGATACAAAAAGCCCTTTTAATTGGGTCGAATGGAGATTGATTTTATATATACTAATCATGGCTACCAAGTGTATATATATTCATGTATAATTTAACAGGTTATTTATTGAAAGATGAATGATAGTCATTGAGAATATTAATCGGCAGGATTTGAAAGCACATATGGCAATAGTCAGTAGCACAAAATCAAAATGAATTTGGTTAATATGACATCAATCTGAAATAATTCCTGTAAGTAGTGACAACACTAGTGATAGCCAGTAAAGACTAATGAAAAAACGAAGGCAACAGAAAATGGAGAACATATAGTCTCACCATTTTGTTCTTGTTCTTCTGGATTGTCATAATAAGATTCTGCTACAGTGTGAAGATGTGCAAAAAATTCTTCTGTGAAATCTTTACGGCACCTAGAAACAACTTCACTGATCTCAGATGGTGTTTCTCTGATAACTTTAAGAAGTTCATTGTCTTTGAACATCTTCATCGATCAATCTGGAGAAGAACATTTCTTTGTGAATTACCAAATAAGCTCAAAGCAAATCTAAGAATCAGCAATATATAGAAGATACAAGACGAAACATCTTTGGATGCAGGCAAATCAATCTAGACACTGAGGTGACCCAACATACACCATCACAAGAAATCTAACTATCAAGCCCGGCTCCACGTATAATAAAAGACCTAAAATTTTAGAGTTTCATAATAAAATATAGATCAAAGATTAAAATTTAATATAATTTAGATTAACAAAAAAACTCTTGAAAGATTATGTCAAAAAAATAAAATTTAAAATTTACGTCCAAAAGTGCAATCCACGCCACACATACACATTTATTAAAAAATAAAAAAAAGTTAACATTTCGATAAAAAAATATAATAAGTATCTCTCTTCCAAAAAAACACTAATTATTAAACTCGATTTTGTTTTCATATAAACACAAAAATACCAGCAAATTAAATTGTTAGTTCTCATAAAGGATCTACAATAAAAACTAATTAATATAAAAAAAATAATAATATTTAATATATATTAGATGACTAAATTACTAAAAAAAAAATTATGTGACACCACATTGTAATATTGAACATTTTTACTATAATAGTACCTTATAAAAATTAATGAAAAAATACATAAAATATAAAATAATACATATTACTTGTAATCGTTGCGAGTCATCTAGTAATCAATTTGTCTTACTTAATCGGTTTTATGAACGAAGACTTAACAGTAAGGGACGAGCAAATACTATAATCATTGCGAGATGCACATATACTTCAATGGTACAACAGGGTCGCCCCTAGGGTCCAACTATTAAAATAATTTCATAGAGCCTCAAAAATTTAGAAATACAATTTAATTTTTAGTCATTTGTTTAACTTCATGTTCTGAAGTCCTTTTAAAATGACTAAATTAATGGTCAAATATATTTCATAAATCCATCTAAAGCCTTATAGAAAACCTAAAATGTAACTATTTTTACAAGTCTATATAAATCTTTATAGAAAGTCTTAAAATATAACAAACTTCTACCTTTAAAAGTAGTTTCTTTCAAATTTTTTTCATTAATTTTTCCTCCACTCTCTCCACCTCTCTCTCTCCCTCTTAGTCTCATTGTCTTGCTTTGGTTTATTGTCCATATCTTTAGTTATCTTGTTGTTTTTTTAATATTTTATTCAATTTATTCATCTATAAAATTTTGATTTCACAATTACACCCAATTTATTATTTGATCCTTGGGGTGCAACCAAAGCATCCTCCCTCCGAGCTTGGGTACGTTCGTTTCCTTGCAGAAGCGGCTCCGAACTAGTAGGCATATAGAAAGAGGCAATTCCTATTATTATAATTAATAAGGGCGCGCCTTCTGATCTACGACCAGGGTCGAATATCGGTCATACCACTGTTTCTCCCTCGATCTCAAAATCACTAAAACTTTGAAAATAAATCATACTATAAATCTATATAAAATATGTTTTTCGTTTTAGATATTAATTTGTGTTGGCCGCCTCTGCTTCTAGAAAAAAAGTCAACGAAGAGCAGAAAAAAGGTACCTTCGTAAAACAATAATATTCTGGAATTGGTCAAAATACAACATCAAACTCCTTCTCTCCCACAATGGAACTCTTTCAACGTTCTGGCCGTCCACATTCAACCAACTTTTAAGTTAACAAGCAAAAAGGTACCTTTTTCACCTTCCTTCCAAGCCGAAGCAGCTTGTGCTTCATCCAGAATCATTCTCGCTATCTGCTCGGTCCTGACACTGCTTATAAAAGTGAAGCCGGATGTTGTTCCATTCCTTGCTGAAAACAAATAATCTTCGCCAGTCAGTTGGAGCCGGCTTCTTGTCAACCATGAAAACCTCAGTTAGCTTGACAAGAACCATTTTATTGTCATCCAAGGTTTCAGCTGCTTCGTTCTGTTCCCCTTCTTTTGAAGAAGAATTAGACTAGCCGTGGGATCAGATCGTTTGGTAAAACACATAGGTCATTAGTCGAATCATTTGGTACTGCCATTGTATCACCAACAACAGTCATAAGAGAGGAACATTGCAGCCTCACTGCATGAAGTTGCAAGTAAGAACCTGGCATTTCAAAGGAGACATCATCAATTTAAGCAATTTGGTGAGAAAAATTAAGAAATATGCTTGGGTAAAAGAGGACCATCCAATAGAATGACCAATCAATCAACAAAATGGTATAGAATCCGTGCTTGTTTAGAAGCAAAGCATTGACACCCCGGACGAGAATCATTTCAACTTCCATGCTTTTCAAACTCATCCATTTAGATTTTTAGAAATCCAAGTATTAAGGAAAATTCCTCAAAGAATAACTGCAGCCCATTTTTATCTTGTTAAGAGTCCAACCTATCATTCAACTGTGCCTCCTTATACACTAATTTCCACTAACCCAATTTTAATACCTCTCCGTATCTAGCTTTCCTCCAATTCAACAGTGCCCTATACTTGTTCAAGCCAAACCCATTCACAATACCCAACTTAAAACACTCCAATATCTAATATGTAGCGATCCCCAAGAGTCAACTAAGAGAATTACATCAAATTTTCAGCTTCAAAGACTACTATAGCAGAAACCAGCAAAGCTCGCTAGAATAAAAACCTCAACGCAATAATTAATCAGAAGTTTCATACATATACACACACATAAATATACTAATCATAACCATATACAAAGATAAAAAAAGGAAGGAAATAAGAGAAAAAGAAACTAAATCCAATGGACTTTGAATTGATTGAATGAAAGTCGGATAGTTCAAGTTAAAAAGTAACGCGAGTTACCTTTAAATTTGGAAGGAAAATGTAATGGACCTGGGAAGAGAGAAGGACGGAGAGTGGTCTCCAGTATAGGATTTTTCTGGATTGATACAATTAGGGTTTTGAAAAGAAAATCAGCCCATTAGGAACGAGAGCAACAATGGTAAAAACACGAGACCGCCAACACTATTTTCTGTAACATGTGACTTTGATAAGAGCCGAAAAAACAAAGAAGATGACGAGGAGGACGACAAGGGCTGTAAGTAAACGACGTCGTAAACAAATTCATTCATTTTTTAACCTATGGTGAAATTTAATTCTATATTCAACACTTTGGGCCAATATACTTGACACTTTAAAAATTTAAAAATTTTAATTTATATATTAAAAAATGAAAAATATAAAATTGCATCATTTAATCACATAAAAATATGGCAATGTGGTCTATTTTAATAAAATTGAGTATAAATTTATTAATTATCACATAAAATATTTAAAATTGAGTAATATATAAATTATTGAGTATAAAATTTAAAAAATATAAAGACTATAAAACAAAACATTGTCGGACAAAACAACAAATTCATTATTTTGGACTACATTGTTAGTCATTTTGTAGGCTTCAATCTAAAATTTTGACTTTCTATGGGGCAAATTTAAAATATGAAGATCTTTAAGGGTTCCAAAGTGACATTCATCCAAAATTTTATGCTATTTCCATATGAAAATTTTTTTATTTTGTCCCCTAAAAGATACAAAAATTCTCAATTTATTTTCAACTGATTATTTTTTTCATATTATTACCTCAAAGAAATAAAAATGTTGTAATGTGGTCCACTGTCTTTTTTTTATTTGGTTATTCATCTGTTTTGTATCAAATTAATTAATCAATCAAAAATTACAAAAATAGACAGACTACCAAACGAAAATAGGACAATGACTCATATTGCAATGTATTTATGTTTTGAGGGGGTAATATAAACAAATTAATTATTAAGAGGATAAACTCAAACTTTTATATCTTTTAGGGGTTAAAATGAAATTTTGCCCTTTTCATTATGCAACTTACGTGACAGAATCTCAATTCTGTTACAAAACCCCTGCGCGCGAAAACACTGAAGCTCATTTTTTCTTAGCTTCGCTCTCTTGGTCTCTCTCTCTCTCTATGCTCAATCGGTTTGTAGAAGAGTTCATCGCACTTTAGGTAAAAAGAGTTTATCACCGGATCAATGTAAGTTGATTGAACTCTGTCCTTTATATTATCTTAATTAATTTTGTATGGATCTTGAGCCTTCGAAGGGTATTCCTTCGCTCTCTCTCTCTCTCTCTTAGTACTCAATTGGTTTGTAGGAGAGTTCGTCGCACATTAGACAAAAAGAGTTTATCACCATATCAAGGTAAGTTGATTGAACTCTATTCTTTATATCATCTTAATTAATTTTGTATGGATTTTGAGTCATCGAAAGGTATTCCTTTGCTCTCTCCCACTCTCTCTCTCTCTCTCTCTCTCTCTCTCTCTCTCTCTCTCTCAATATTCAGTCGGTTTGCAGAAGAGTTCATCGTACATTAGGCAAAAAGAGTTTATCACTAGATCAAGGTAAATTGATTAAACTCTGTCTATTATATTATCTTAATTAATTTTGTATGGATCTTGAGTCTTCGAAAGATATTCCCTCTCTCTCTCTCTCTCTTGGTATTCAGTCAGTTTGTAGAAGAGTTTGTCGCACATTAGGCAAAAAGAGTTTATCATCAGATCAAGGTAAATTGATTGAACTCTATCTTTTATATTATCTTAATTAATTTTGTATGGATCTTGAGCCTATGAAAGGTATTCCTTCGCTCTCTCTCACTCTTTATCTCTTGGTATTCAGTCAGTTTGCAAAAGAGTTTATGCACATTAGGTAATAAGAATTTATCACCAGATCAAGGTAAGTTGATTGAACTTTGTCCTTTATATTCTCTTAATTAATTTTGTATGGATCTTGAGCCTTCGAAAGGTATTCCTTCGCTCACTCTCTCTCTCTTGGTACTTAGTTGGTTTGTAGAAGAGTTCGTCGCACATTATGCAAAAAGAGTTTACACCAGATCAAGGTAAGTTGATTGAACTCTGTCATTTATATTATCTTAATTTTGTATGGATCTTGAGCCTTTGAAAGGTATTTCTTCGCTCACTCTCACTCTCTCTCTCTCTCTCTCTCGGTACTCAGTCGATTTACAGAAGAGTTCATCGCACATTAGGCAAAAAGAATTTATCACACAATCAAGGTAAGTTGATTGAACTCTTTTCTTTACTATTATCCTTCGTATGGATCTTGAGCCTTCGAAAAGTATTCCTTCGCTCTCTCTCTATTTGTATCGCACATTATAGATCCAAGTGTTATGAACTTGTAATGTTATTAATTAAGAGTGTCAAAAATTTGACCTAATTTATTAATGTAATGATATAGTTTCATTGTAATGATTGAAATAACACTAAATTTTAATGTTTAATAAGGCTACGATCAATTCAATAATTATAATAAATTAGATCAATAAATTAAACGTCAATAATAATGTTTCAGTTTTGGTCTCTTCCTCTTCTAATTGCATGTTAATGTTTTACATTATGTTAGGACTGTCTATAAGTTGCCTAGATTTCTATATTTGTGGCGGTGTTTCTGTTGTGTTCTTAATTTGTGAAATTGGTCGCATTTGACATGTAGGTAGATCTAAATAGCATTACTCATCTAAATATAATCTTATTTCTATCAATTCGGAAAAAAAAAAAAAAGAAAGTAAAATTTATTTTCAAAAGGTCCACCCTAAAATAATTTTTTTTGCTCCACCCCTGTACATACCTATGTGGTCTAGCAAGATTTTATTGGTTGGTTGTTTCACAGAACCCACTGTGTTCAGTTAAAACAGAGATAAAGAAATGCAAATGGTGCTGCTGCTTGGGGTTCTTAGTGACAATGGGGTTGGGGTTCTACTGGTTTGGTTGGGGTTCAATAATGGTGGGTTTTGTCTAAGAACAGAGAGAAGTAACCCTTTTTTTTTTTTTTGGAGAGAGAGAGAGATTGGTGGTAAACTGGCTGGCTGGGTGCTTGGAAAGATGTGGGAATATTATGCTCGGTTTGGTAGGGAGGATGGAAAGTAGGAAGGATGAAAAGTAGGAGGGATACACTTTCTATCCTTCAAGGATGGAAAGTAGGAATAATACATTTTTCTTCCTTTGTGTTTGGTTGGATAGATGAAAAATAAAAATGACTATTTTTTTTTTGTCCTGACTAAAATTAAGGATGACAATAAAGTCGAGTCGTATCGTGTCAGATTCGTGTTAAGTCATTACGAGTTTGTGTCGAATATTAGTCAAATCTAACTTAACTCATTTAACTAATTGTGTCGTGTCGAGTTGCGAGTTGACCTATTTATTTGCGTATCGAGTTCGAGTCGTGTCATCGTGTTGAGTCAAAAATTTTTACCCTTAGTTAAGATGAAAAAAATATATTTTTTTTAATTTAATTTTTTTTTTTAAAAAAAAATTAATTTTTAACATTTTTTAAAATATATATACATATTTTACCAATATATTTTTATATAAAATTAATGTATACATAAGATATATAAACAAATAAGATACATCTCAACACAAAAAATTAACTTTGCATTCACTTTCCTTCCGATTTTGGAGGGATTAATTTTGGTGAGTTGGAAGGAAAGTTATTCCATCCACTTTTTCATCCTTCATATTTTCCTTCCTTACCAAACATAATATTTTATTTATTTCTCCAACTTTCCATCCTACCAACTTTTTATCCCCTCATTTTTTCATCGTACCAAACGGAGCATTAATATCATGAGGGGAATTATTTAGGAAAAAGTGTTGGTTTGGCAATTTTTTTATATAAATAAGTATTATTTAAGCCAAAAACTAGTCACCTCAGGGTTTCCCACGTCTTAATATTGTTGTTTTTGTTTTTTCCTAAGATGGGTGGAGGAAAGATGTGGAAATCTACCACCGACTTCAATTACAAAAAGTTCCTTTGCAAAAAGTTTGATCTTGGCATCCTTTGTACCGCAGATTCCAGGGTAAGTTGGATTAATTTTGTTGATTTAAAAGTGCTGTTGTGTATCAACCACCATAACAAACAAAAGTATAATACACATACAAAATCAATATTCAAATTCCAACAAACAAAATACTAATGCATGTAACTCTAATCGTTTCATGTGCAGCGTGCCACATTTTTCATTGATTAATGTTTATGTGTCCATATATTTGGCAAAAATGTATTTAATTATACGTCCAAGCGTCAATAGTGAAGAGACAAATAACCTTGAAATACACTTCTTCCTACATGGTAGAGCTGTGTGTGCTGATCATCTTTCTCATGGAGAGATCCTGCAATAAAGTGGCACACAATGTATTTCTGAGCCAACAAACTGGGGGGGTAAAAAAAAAGGGGGATTTGGAAACTGGTATAATTTTTTAGACTTATTTGAACAAAAATATTACTCAAAAACTTATTTGGTGCATATTTTCTGTATTGTGCCATAGCAAATGGGTCCAAATTTTTTTGATTCATTGCTGGTTCATCTGGACGAACAGGAACGGTGTTTTATTTCTAAATCTAAGGAAAAGTCTTGCATCTTTGGTTCCGGCTTCGGTTGATTGCCTGGAGCAGTATGAGCATGCCTTGTTGTATAGCAACTCTGCCCCAACAGAAGTGAGTTCCGCCTCTCTATGGTCTCCCCCAAGGTCTGGTTCGCGGAAGGTAAATTACGATGGAGCCATCTTCGAAGCGGAAAGGGTAATTGGTGTAGGAGTTGTCGTTAGGGATGAGCGAGGCATTTTCATTGCAGATTTGTCAAAGAAAATTACATCTTCATGTGTGGCACAAACGGGTCATATCCTTACAGCAAGTGCAGCTGTCCACCTTGCTCGTTAACAAGACTGCGATAAAATTATATTGGAAGGAGATTTAATGAATGTTACTGAGACTGAATTTGATCCTTTGGGCCCTGTTCTTGTGGACATAAAGCTTAGTTTGCGTAATTGCAACTATCATGATTGAATTGCCATTGAATGCATTTGAAGTTGATTATGATGGGGATATATGGAGAACTCGAGACCGACACATTCAATTCATCCGATCGCATGTAGATATCGAAGTATTTATTCTCGATAACACACAACAGAGATATGATGGGTCATGCATAATGGAGATTAGATCACAGGATCAACTACACTAGTCTTGAACTTGAACCCTCGGAGTATGTTAAGAGTTATGGAACATTTCTAAAATGACCTGTCTAATCTCTTTCTCCGAATGTTTCTACTACAAGCAACTTTGACCTCATAAAAAACTGACGACCTAAGATCCTATGACTGCTAAACTGAAAGCAAATTAGAACTATCCTCAGCATCTGCTAAAATCAGTGGACACTAACTATGAATTGCTCCCCCTAGAGCTCAACCAGGCTGTCCTGCGCTAGGCTGTGATTCCTCAGTTCAGCTAATCCAGCCTCGACGGGAAGAGAGATTAAAAAAACCCAATCCATGTTTGGCTGTCTCCATTAAATCCTCAAATACTTTCTTTTCGTATGATGAAAGCAGCAGAAAGATTGAAAGAATCTGTTCTTTTTATTTCCAATGCTACCAAGTTGAGTATGTCGATGACCAATGTCCAATATGACCAATGTAACAAGTTCAACAACTCACGACACTCACCAAAGACGTACTCATGCATCTTCTTTACGGTGCCCATCTTGATAATGACCTGCCTCTAAATGCTTCCGGGACGGAAATTAGTGGACGATTGACATCCATATCTCATGTAATTGCGACTGTAATGAAATTAAATGATTGTAAAACATTCTCAAATGCTGACAATACTATGTTGTATGTGCATTATATTTGTGTACAGTGGTCACACCAATGCTGTCACTGAATATTAAGACTAATCATGCAGTAGTTGACATCCTTGAAGCACAATGCATCTCACTTGTTGTGATCATGATAAGCCGACCTATAAAATGAAGCTGATTATATAAAAGCACGTGCAATTACTTGATGAATTAAGAAACCATGTACGGAAATAAGAGGGGGTACTTGCGAATCCCATGTGTTAATTTTTAAAACGCTTTAAGAAAGAATAATCATAGACCAGAAGAGACGGGTTGCAACTCCCATTAACAAGACCTCTATGAAGATGGAACCAACTAAAACGAATATGTCTCCCTTCTGTACATCAATTTTCCAGTTAAGGAAGCAGGGTACAAGAAATATTGCTCATACAGTGGGTATGTCAAATGCAAAATCACTAGATATGCTGGTTAAAAAAAGAGATTAAAATTCTATCCAAAGCTGAATCAATATTCAAAAAGTCGAAACATAATAGAACAGAATTCTAGGATAAATATATAAATGAATGTGTCTCACCCCAAAAATATTAAAAAAAAGGAAAACATCACGAGTGTGGAAGGCTGAGAACATAGGCCTCTCCAAGTGTTCCAATAATAAGTTTTGGTGCTTTAAAACTAAGTCAGCTTTCGCCATAGAGAAACTTTGGAAGCTGATAGGCACTTCACCTTGGAAAAAACAAACCCTGTCTTGGAGGGATTTCCATCGACGAGAGAATGCTCATAAATGTCTTTGCATTCTTGTACAACCTGTTTTGCAAATAAAATGTATGTCAAATTTGTCAATGAAGATTCAAAGCCACTTCTTGATTGGCCATAATCGTATGCATGGTTGAAGAAAATCGTTCCAACCATGTGATGTTGCGCTTTGCTACAAGACAAATTTTGGATGCATGGAATCACCAGAAATCACGCAGACCATTAAACCCAGTTCTATGCAGCCAAGGGGGCTCAAACTCGAGACATGAGGGTTTACATCTCACCCCTTTGTTTGACCACTTTCAACTCGTGCAAGTTTTATAGTAATGAATTATTAATACCATAGAAATCCAACAATTTAAAAGCAAACTAAAATTTTCAAGTTCCAGAAAAGCTCATGGGGATTAACAGCCAAAAGATGGGTTCGGGGATGATAAGAAAAAGGTAGTATGAAACTGCATTTATCTCATATGATATATTGGCATAAGCAAGCCGTACTGTTAACAGTACTGTAGAGCTTTTTATGGCGCCAATAACTGGTCTTCCAGAAATATCACACCAAAAATTGTTTGAAAAAAAGAAATATGTTTCTACCTTAAAGAAAGAACTTGCAAGTTTGACAAGCTACGTTGAACATAATTTAGTAATTCAATTCCATGGGACATCTTAAAGACACCCAATGAAATGATTTTGTGTGGCTGTTCTCTGAATTTTACATGGGACATCATTACCTAGGTAACTGCTTTGAATCCTACACATTGAGAAACATGCTTACAAAAATAAACATACCTCCTTCGCATCCTTCCGTGGTATGCCTTCTCGCAGTCCCACAATTTTTTCAACTACCTCTGGCTGCAATCCAACAAAAAGGAGATTCTGAACCAGAATTCTGACTAAATTCTACTACTTCTAGATTTAATGGTGAAAACTAGATAATTTCAAAATAATTCATTAAATGGTGACTCATAGTTTTTAATGGAACTCCTGAGCTACTGAGACATTAGTTGAAAGATGACCCAAAAACATTTTACCAGCAGTTTGCAGTGTTCAATGGCACTTACAGGACAGTTTGGTTGATGTTCAAGGATATTTGTATAAACAAGCGTGAAAGAATCCGGGCTCTCAGCTGAAGCAAGATCTCTCAAGTCACTTAGTATCCGTACTCTGTTTTCAACTTTCTGTACCAAAAGTCAGATATTTGAATCAAGCATCTACAAACAAAATTGTGGGTGGGCATTTTCTTTAACAAAATAAAATACATATACTTGAGACCATATATTACTGCATAAAATGGAGCAGAACTTACAGAAACAGTAATATATTCCCTAAAGAAATCCATTAGAACCTCTTCATCCAACCTCATCCTCTCAATCGTTTCTTCCTTGATGTAATTTTTCTACAATGAAGAGATCATCAGAACATTCAATTCATGGAAAGAAAGAATCTTACATACAAACACTTGTAGTATATCCAGCGAATATAAAATGGTATATTTTCTCTTAGAAACCTGGATGAGTAGATGATCAACATAAACAACAACAGTTTCCTCCAGGCAAGCCTCAACAAAACGCCTAAATGATCGTTCTTCAATGTACCTTAGTCAATTATGCAACATAAAATAACAACGAGCTTCAGTGCATGCACTCAAAACATTGTTTTGTTTGTGGGTAATAGAATGCATTTGAGGATATAAAATTATTTAAATCGTTTGACAAGGTTACCCAAATTAAAGAGAAAAACTTACATCTTCACATCGGTAAAATAATCACCAAATGTGGCAACAAGGTACTCTGTAACCTGTCCTTCCAACCAATCTGAGGTTTATACCAGAAGAAGCAAATTCAGATGAGTGGGTTAATGAAAGTAGTGGGTCTGCTGAACAAGATGAGAGGGCTTGGAATTACTTTCTCATAGGATCTTTGTTCAATTAAAGAACTAAGTTTCTCCAACTAAAATTGTGTGCGCTACAAGCAAACTTGAAAATGAGGTGCATGAGACATAAGTTTGGTGGCCTGAAGATTCCACCTTGGAAAAACACTCCTACCCAAAAAAAAAATAAAAAAAAAAAATTGTGCAGCTTGATGCCTTTTCCCCATTAAGTTTAGAATATTTTTCGCCACCAGAAGTATGTGTAAAATGTGCAGGTTTATGCAAACAATTACAAGATTTAATAAGTTCTTCAACACAGAGTAAAAATTGATTCACCTTTATGATACAGCTTGACGAGTAACTCCTGCACTCCAGGATCTTCAAAGATAACACTAACGGTTTGATGCACAGCTTCCTGAAATCATTATGAAATCAAGCATTTGGAAGTCTAAAAAGAACAACTTCCTTAAAAGAACCTTTTATCCACATGCAAAATGCACACTCGCCATATAATAATTCAGACGAAATCATGACTACACATGAAACTGCATATTATCTGCACTTAGAAACGAAAAGAACAAATATAGAAGGCTAAAATGTTTTCTTGCATCACTCTTTTCTGCATCTACTTACCATTGTTTAAGGTTACGGTAGTGACTTTTTTATAGGACACTGAGCCGCATCAGCTGCAGCATTGCAAAAGGTGGATATGCCACAATTAGAGGGCGATGGCTTGGACGACATGGCAGAGTTGTCCATGATATATCCACTCAACTGCGATATTTGGGTAAGACTCATGGGTTACATGAAACGTGGACCAGTATCGGAACCAAAAGTGCGTAGTCATATCCAAATCGGCCCATTCTTTGACCAATGACTATGACAGCTCTGAACAATAGAGCAATAGGCATGCTCTAGAATAAAAAAACTAACAAGAGTGATTCCAGTCTTTCAATGAAAAGTACTAGTTGAAATTTCAATCAAGAAGAAAATAGATTTCCTTTTTACCTGAACAAGTTGGAAAGTATCAACAGAAATTTAGTGGAAAATAATTTTTAAAACTGTAATTACAGTAATCAAACCATGACTTTTGAAAATTCAAAGGTATTACTAGTTTTCCAAGGTTGTTAAGAGTCGTTGGTTCATGCCCCCCCCCCCCCCCAAAAAAACCAAAAAAACAAAAAAACCACAACAAATAAGGACAATCTATGATGAGCTTGGTCACTCAAGGAGCAGTTTGGTTGCATGGAGCCTTGTTGGGTACACAACTTTCTCAATGTACACCTAATCGCTTGGTGTAAACATTATTGGTACTTTGTGGTTAACAGGGATTTGGCGTTCAAAGTATCGGCCGAGTCCAACACAATTCACCTCCCTCGTATCCAACTGGGCATTTTCCGTTCTGTAAACCATGAGTCTCACTAGACTCGTAGTTAACCCAGAGACATCTCAGTTGATTCAGCCTATTGTCCCCTTGCCATCATCGAATCGCAGTGTATCATCTAAGACTATACCGTGACGCCACGGGCTGAATTTGTCAGCATATCACACTTATTCTTCTATCTAGCGCTTTGTACATATCAATTAATATCATTACATAAGGCCAAGACTGATTCATGTCAATGCTCTTCGAGTTGATGACTGTACTGTGCTATGACTATGTTTGCCTATGTCTGAAGTCATATAAGTGAATATTCATTTAATGGGCATCCTTTATTTCATAGAAATTGGATAGAATCTCCTTGCGTAGCAAGGGCCAACCAATCCAACTTTCAGGCATCACAATAGGTTTATCACCTGAAAAAGAAGTGTGCGGCCAACATTAATAAGGAAGCTATCAGCCAGTATGTTTAGAAAAACATCCAGTCAAGGAAGCACAAGAAGCTGGAAGAGGGAAAAAAGTTAAGCCGATGGTACACATCAGATTTCGAATAGTAATGAAACAATTTTGAACTCACATGCTCACCACTACTTCACAATAAATCAAGCAGCCTATGTAAACAAATGATTATATATGGGTCTTCTACAGATTTTGAACCCCAAAAGCATATACAAGTTTGTTAGAATTCTTATTTTTATGTTTTATATTTATGTAGGGTAATATTGTAATTACCCAAGATAGAGTTCAATATAAATAAAAGAGTGTAGGGCAACACTGCTCACACACATATTATTCTCTCGTTTTCTTCCTTTCTTTCTCTTTCTCTTTCTTTCTTTCTTTCTTTCTTTCTTTCTCTTTTTGTTCTCCTTTTCTCAAAAATAATATTGTACTCCTTACTTCTTGACTTGGTATCAAAGCAATGATTCAAGTTTTTTTTTTAAACTGATGAATAGGTCGCGTGAAGAGTACCGTGTGAACAGCAATTTCGTGCACATGAACAGTAACTCAATGGACAGTGATTTCATCCCTTGCAAGTATTTTTGATACTTCAATCCCCACCAGGTGCAACTAGAGTATTGGAGGTGGTTGGTGGACTGCATAGTTTGTTTTGGGAGAATCCTAAGTTTGTTGTGGGCAGCTTGTGTTATAAGTAATCTGTTTGTGCTATGGGTAATTTGCTACTTGGGTTTTTGGACCATTTTTGCTTAATGTGATTTTTGATCTGATCTTCTCTTGATTTTTTTTCAATTCTGTTGCTTCAAACCAATATCATGGGGTGTGACTAAGGGGCATGTATACTCAGTTGGGTAATTCGGGGCATTTGGGTTGATTTGTGAAGAAATTTTAGTAGTTTTGGTGAGTCGGCAATCTAGTTTCTGCCAATTGGTGATGTTTCTAATTGATTCTACATGTTATTTTGTTGGTTTTTTTTGGCCAACCTATTATGAATTGTGGTGGTTTTGATGAGTGGACAACCTTGTTTTGTGCCAAAGGTGATGAGATTTTCGGTGATTTTGGCTTTATTTTGTACCCTACTGCTTTCATTGTTATCTATCTACCTCGCTGTAAATTATTTTCACAAAATTGTTGTTTTACTTCTCCAATCTTCAAGGTTGAGCACTGTGGTGATGGGTTCTCCGCCAAAATTGTTAGGTTATTGATTTACTTGATTAGTTGAGTTTGTACTTTGTAGCCTTGTTGATTTTGCACTGACATGCTGCTGCTCTCATTGTAATCTACTGCTCTTCCACTGCCTCAAGTTTAACCTACTTGTTGATCTGTTACTTGATGGTTTATTAGACTTGTAGTTTCTTATAACAGAGTAGCTGTTTGTGTTTTTATTCCTCATGGTGCCTTTGAATGGTGGTCGTGGTCATCGTTTTGGGTAGAAGTGTATTTATTGCGATGGTACACGATACAATAAGAATTATTGTTATGATAAGAATGAGAGACCAACATATAATCATCGAGCTTCTAATGATACATCTCGAGTATATTAGACTTCTACCAATGGTCCAGTTGCTCCAACTCCTGCCTCTTATAATAATCTTTCATCTCAGTTTCGTCAGCTCATCCAACAGATATCTTCATTTTCTTTACATTCCTTTATTCTGCCTACCAACTGCACTAATAAAGGTAACCCAATATGTATAGTTGTTCAACCTCCTTTGTCATCTTGGATCATTAATTTAGGAACTAGTGTTCATATGTCTGGTAATTCTTCCCTATTTTCTAATTTTCGTTTGCGTAACTCACGTATTGTGTTAGCTAATTGTTCCTTTCGACTAGTACTTGAGATTGACGATCTCCGTCCTACTCAATTCATGCCCTTAACTTCTGGTTTGTTTGTTCATAATTTTTCTTTTAACTTGTTATCTGTGAGTTATTAACTAAAGTCCTTCTAGTGTTTCGTGACATTATCTCATTCTTCTTGTGTTTTTCAAGACTTCAAAACAAAGAAGGTGATTGGTGTAGGACATGAAAACAATGGCCGTTACTACTTAGATCCTGATGATTTTGTTTTTGCATTGAGTGCTACTGTGTCTCCTCTTCAGTGGCACTTTCGACTAGATCATCCCTCCTTGCAAAAGTTGCATCGTGTAATCTCAGATTTGAGCTCTCTTCTGTGTTAGAATATGAGGCTTGTCAATTAGGTAAGTATTACCATAGCTCTTTTCCTCCTAGTTCTTTTGGTTGTCAGCCCAGTCTGTTTCATATTGTTCATTCAGACATTTAAGACCCTGCAAGAGTCAAAAGTATTTCTAAATTTCAGTATTTTGGTATAAACATTGTCATTTATTATTAGATATTGCCCACAGCTTGATGTTTAACATACATGTGTCAAAACCATATTTGACTAATGTTCTTACTTCAGTTTATCTTATTAATTGCATACATTCCCTCATTTTGGACAACAAACCTCCCTACTTATTGTTTTATCTTGAAAGACCACCATTTGAACTCCCTCCTCGTGTCTTTAATTGTGTTGCATTTGTTTATCTTCTTAGTCCGAGTTTGGATAAACTTTCGTCTCACTCAATTAAGTATGTCTTTTGGAGATATTCTCGTTCTTGTACTCAAAAAGGTTATTAGTATTATGACCCTATCTCTCGCCAATACTACGTTAGTGCTGATGTTACTTTTTTTGAGTCATCGTCTTTCTTTTCTGCATCAAAACATACATTTTTACCAGATTTAGTTTTTCCTAGTCAGAGAGAACCCTTATTGCCTATTATACCAGATTATACATCTTCTTCCTCTTCGACTACTACACCTTCCTTACAGGTTTATCGTCGTTCCAAGGACAGACAAGTTGTTTTATATGCTCTAACTCCACAACTATCACCTGATTTTACTAAGGTTCTGCCTTCCAAGCCATCAACTAGTTCATTCTCTTCCGATTTGCCTATTGCTTTGAGGAAAGGTACTCGTAACTGTACTAACCCAATTTATAATTTTGTTTCCTTACATCGGTTTTCCTCATCATTCCATTGTTTTGTATCTACCTTGTCATCTGCGGTTATTCCTAGTTTCTTGACACAGATTTTGACATCTTCGAGATGAAAACTATGGATGAGGAAATGAAAGCTCTTCATGAGAATCAAATTTGGGATCTCATTTCACTTCCTTCTCGGAAACAGCCAATTAGTTATTGTTGAGTCTACAATGTGAAAAATCTTCCTAATAGCTCTGTCGAGCGTTTAAAGGTTCGGTTGGTTGCCAAATGATACAACCAGACATATGGTGTTGCCTGTTATAAGACATTTTTTCATGTTGCTCGACTTAACTTTGTTAAGAGTTTTTATTTCGATTGCAGCTTGTCGTGATTGACCCTTATACCAACTGGACATAAAGAATGTCTTTTTACATGGAGATTTACAGGAGGAGATATACATAGTTCAACCCACAAGTTATGTTACTGCTGGTATGGAACAATTGGTATGTTGTCTGAAGAAAGCACTATATGGTCTAAAACAGTCACCATGTGCTTGGTTTGGTAAGTTCACCACTGTGGTCCTTCAGTATGATTTTCAGCATTCTACTTCAGATCCTTCAGTGTTTATTTGTCGTTCTATCTAAGAGGTTATCATTCTCATCATATATATTGATGATATTATCATTAGTGGTGATGATTTTGATGGTATTACCATTTTTAAGCTCTATTTGGGGTAGCAGTTTCAAACTAAAGATTTGGATTTTCTTCAATACTTCCTTAGGATTAAGATTGTTCGGTCAAAGTAAGGTATCAATCTAGGCCAACAAAAGTTCGTATTGAATTTGCTATCTGAAACGGGTACTCTTGATGCTCGTCCTATGAATTTTACAATCAAGTTAGATGCTGATAGTGGGAAAGTTTTTGATGACTTAGGACACTATCAGAGATTGGTTGGTAAACTGATCTACCTCATAGTTACGTCTCCCGATATTACATTTGCTGTTGGAGTAATTAGTCTACATGCTCCTCGCCATGGCTGGCTCACATATGAAGTCATTTAGGCCGTTGCTTAGGGCCCCATTTGGGATGGGACCCCCATTTTTTAAATAAATAGTTATAAATGTAACAACATTTTCTTTTGATTTTGTTTTGTTTGAACTTTATCCTTTTATTTAGTTACAGAGTAAAAAGTCTCATTCTTTAAAATATCTAAGGTAACTCGTATTTTAGATACTATTTTATATATTTTCTATTTGACAAATTAAGCAATTCATCCATCTATCAACCTATTACAAACCATAATTAATGCAATTAATCTTTTCATCACAAATCACATATTCGCATATTTGATACTAACTTTCAAAAGCATCTCCAAGTCAAAAAAAAAAAAAAATCAATCACATCTTCTTGATAGTCTCTCCCTCCATATATCTCTCATTTTTTGTACACTTAAAAGATTAATTTTTTGAATTCATATCACTTTGGGTTCAGGTTATAAATTCTCTGTGATACTTAGGATCAATCCTAATAGTTTAGTATTGTTCTCTAACCCCCTAAATGGTTATAATTTGACCCTAGATGGAGTATTTTTTAGTATTGATCATAGTTATCAAATTGTGTATCGAAAGGCGTATCGTTTTTTAAAAATAGTGTATCATATCATGCATCGTATCGTGTATCGTAAGATACGGTGTAATTTTAAATAATTAATTGTAAAATATATATGCTTTTGAAAAAAAATCATAGGCTCATAAAAATATAACATTTCATTAATATTCCACTTACTATTCAAGTCACCAATACAATTTATTAATATTAAAAAAATAATAAAGGGTATCAAATTAAATTAATGATACTTATATATACTTAAAAATAAAAAATTATAATATAGGGGGTATTAAATGTAATTCTTCATTCTTATAACCACAGTCGTGAGTCTACCCAGTACCCACGACTCATGAATGAACACAGAGAGCCAGAGAGAAGAGCAAAAGGCGATCGCGATGCTGATGCCGGTGGAGAGAGAGAGAGAGAGAGAGGAAGAAGACGAACAGTGGTACTTAGGGTTTCATCCAAAATTTACAGGTTAGTATTGCTATTTTTTTCAATTTCAAAAATTTGTTTGATTTGCTTTTGCTTTTGCTTTGGTGTTTTTGTTAATTTGTTGCCTGGTAATTCTTGTCTTGGTAATTCTTGTTTTCTTCATCTATGTTGCCTTTTTTTTTGGCATTTTCTCTATTATCTGATTTGTGGGCTTCGGTGTCTTCATCTCTGTTGGCTTCGGTGGCTTTGGTGTCTTCATCTCTCTTGTTTTTGCTTCGGTGTCTTCATCTTTGGTACGAATCAGGCTGTCAAAAAAAACAAAATTAAACAGCGACTTCGCGTATCGGTGCGTAACGGTACGATACGTATCATATCGTAAAAACGTATCATGTATCGGACGATACAATGCAAAAACGATACATAACTACGATCTGTATCGGTTTAGGCCTGTATCGTGACGTATTGTACGATACGTATCGTGTATCGTACGATACTAACAACTATGATATTGATATTAACTTTTTGGTTGCAATTTGACCTAAGAAAAATTATAATCTAATGCGTAAAAGTTTTAATTTTCTGTAGATACCATCTTTGATAACATATTCTTACCTATTAGCAATACTCAAATAAAAAAGCTAAATTAATAATTTTATATCTCAAAACAATAAATTTTAAATAAACTCTAGTTACATGACTAGTATACTAATATTAAGTTTTCAAAAGGCCATGTCTAAAGTTTCGCTTAGGGCCCCATTTTTATTGGGCCGACCCTGCTCCTCGCAAGTCTCATTGGGAGGCTACTTGTCATATCCTTCGGTATCTTAAAGGAGTACCGGAGAAAAGATTATTATACTGATAGATGATATATTTCTAGTTATTCCACATTTATTGATGGTAATCTTGTCACTTGGCGTAGCAAGAATTAGAATATAATTGTATTTTCAAGTGTAGGAGACCGTTTGTTTTGAGTATTAGAGTGGTATAAGGAGGTAGTATTAAGAAAATAGTACGTGGGACCCATCTTATACGTTGTTTGTTTGGCATTTTATAGTCAGTACTATTTTCCAGGTCGTAATACCGTCCCGCTATGAACAGTAGTCATAATGACTTGTAAAATGTCTTAATGAATACCACCTAGGGGGTGATATTATATTCTTGATATAGGTATTATAAACTAAAAAGACCGAAATGCCCTTCGGTACAATTCCCATACAAAAGCCTTGCCCCAATTTTTGAGTTTTTAAAAGTTAAAATTGTCTTTTACATTGGTTAGCCGCAATTGTTAACTTTTTAAGTAGGTATTACACAGATAATATTTGTGATAAACAAACAACGAGAAGGATGAGATTATAGTTTAACACCGGTTAAAATAAACTATTGGATTGGAGTGGAATGGATATAAAACCTTATACCACCTAAATTTTATACTCAAAACAAACATGCCCTAGAGGTAGAATATTGGGCTATGGCTCACACAACATGTGAAATGATGTGGGTGTGTGCTCTACTTCGTGATATGGGGATTACTATGCCCTCTCCTATGCAGATGTATTGTGATAATCAGACAACTATTTTTATTGCTAGTAATCCAGTGTTTCACGAGCGCACCAAACACATAAAAGTGGATTGTCTGGTGATTAGTTGAGTGATATTTTTATCAAACTATTGTCTTGTGGTACCTTAAATAATCTTTGTTTCAAATTTGGTATTTTTTATCGTTATGCTTCAACTTGAGTGGGAGTGTTAGAGTTTTTATTTTTATGTTTTATATTTATATAGGGTAATATTGTAATTATCCACAATAGGGTTCAATATAAATAAGATAAGAGTGCAGGGCAACACTGCTCACACACACATTATTCTCTCATTCTCTCTTTTTGTTCTCCTTTTCTCCTAACATAATATTATACTCTTTATTTCTTGATTAAGTGCATTGACCCACAAAATATGCCCAGACGTCTATATGTCGTCATGGTATAAAAGCACCACATCACAAAGTAATAACCAATTAACTAAGAGAAGACTTGCACACAAGACGAACTCTACATGGTATAAAATAGCATTAGGCTACTAAAAACTCAAATAAATTGAGAATGTTTCAATAAACAAAACAAATTGCCGAAAATGAATAAATAAAAGTGTGAAAAATGAGAAGTTTTTGTACAAAATACAGGATTAAAGCTTCATCAGACCAAGACATCAAGTAAATGGTAGATGCAGGTCATGAAACGATTCCATGCATGCAATTTGAGGGAAAATATATATAGAAGTCCATAATAGGATAACGTGCAGAAAATTATCATGGCATGGTCTGAAGGTGGGGGATGTAAACTCAACATACCTTTGCAACCTCCAGAAAACCTTTACAAGTGTCTTCAAAATTGACCTGTGGAAGTGATAAGAAATAATTGTAAAAACACATAAAGCAATATCTAAGGATACTAAATGCATGCACTCCACAATATTCAATGCAGCAGATATAACCTTCAGACTGAGAGATTGAACTATTGTGGTAGTGGACTAGGGCAGGGCCCTTGCCACAAAGAAGCTTCTAAAAGAGGTCAAGTTCATCACCGTAAGCATGTCTCAAGGTTCTTTGAGGTCCCAATTCAATGGTAATATATGTAGCTGGTGAAATAGTGGTCTCAAAGAAGCGAAAGAGGGAAAGGGAAAGAGTCCACAACACCTCAAGTGTACTGTAGATAATGTAATCGGCATACATGTGTTTGAAGATCAGAGGTTGTCAAAGCAGAGAAAGGGAACCAACAACGCATTACCATAGAAAATGTTTCCACATCTATTGGTTGTAAGCAATGCCTCAAACTCCAAGAAATTGGCTACAGAAGAGATGCTTTGAGAAGATTAGTTTGGACTTACTATTATGGATTGGATGGAAACAACCCAATAGATCTAATGTCATTAAAAACTTCTAGCTAATTTTACGAAAAAAACTTCTAGGCATAAAAATCGGTAACTTTTATGCCAAATATAGTCAATGCCATTTCTTATTATCTCATCAATTTCAACAGAACTGCTTAAAAAACTTTAGGTGCTGCAAATGAAGAAGGGATTCTCTCCGAGTAGGAATTAACTTGTACAGGACATCAGGGATTCAGACCCTATTACCCCATTATCTAATGTCAACTAGTTTTAGGCATAATTGGCAGAGACATGATTGTTTTCAACTAGATATGGACTTAAGATGACATATCTTGTTCATCAGGATTTTCCAAATTTTCAGATACGGACTCAAGTTCACATAACAGAGTAAGAACAAGGAATCATTCTTTCAGATCAAACTAGGATTTGTATTTAATATCGTCAGAAATCAGCAAAAAAATGAAGTTCCAAACATATAAACAAAAGAGATGATCAAGGCAGATACAGGTATAAAATCCATCATTCACAACAACCCATGGCTCATTTTTTTTATACCCCAACAGCAATGGAAAGAAGGATAAAACAGAAAACATCAACGAGCTAATTTGAAAGACGACAGGAAGAGCAAGCAGCAAGGCACACCCATAAAAGAATAAAGTTGGCAATCCATAAAAAAAACAAATGGCTCTTTTACTAAGTTTTTTTTCTTTTTTTGGGTAGGGGATGGGGAGTTGTGCGCACTGAATGGCAATAGGGTACCTGCTCTGCATAGCTCTGAGGAAGAGCTTCTATTGTGCTGGTGCTCAGCTCCATCGCAAGATCATAGCAACGCAGATTGTTGTTAATCTGTCATGCCAACTTATTAGCAAGAAACAGATTTAGAAGTCTGATAATAAAGAAAGACTGCACAATTCAACACAAGTTAGAGCTAGACATCTGAAAATTTGACAAACCATGGCACATAGAGGTTCTAGACCAATTTCAGATGCAGGTTCGTCAAATCTCTGCCTCTCAGCTGATTGAAAATCAATCATTACCTGCAAATGCTTTGTAAGTATACAATCTGGACATTAAATATACAATGCCACACACATACACAAACAACTACAACAACGGCCAAGGTAGGTTCTGGTGACACATTCATCAAGCAAAAGTATCTCTCAGGTGGCGAGGTCATACAAACTTCCATAAGAAATTCTGATGGCAGCAGCTCTGTGCTGCAGAGAAAACTACCGGGATATCTAGAGTTTGCATCATTCCCCTATACTGGAATGATTGAGTACCTAAGAAGCATGAGCACTTCATTTTGGGCATACTATCGGTGTCGGACATGTCTAGGACACGGACACGCTTCGGACACGTTAAAATGAGTGTCTTATTTTTTTATTGTTAAATTTTTTTTAGGACACGTTGGGAACATGCGGCTGAAACGTTCAGGACACGTTTTGATATTTATTTTCAATTTTTTGAGAACTTTTCAGATAATTTTATAATTAAAAGTTATTTTTATAATTTTAAAGGGATACGAGTCACAATCATAGTATAAAAAAAGTTATAATCATTACATTGAACATAAGACATGAATTTAACATAATTTTGGATACGAATATGAACTTATATACAAATGGAATAGTCTTTTAATATGACAATAATGTGAAAAAAAATGGGATTACAAAATTAGAGCTCTTGTAAATTGATGAAAATTAGTATTACGAAATAAAATATTTTTAAAAATAAAAGTTGTAAAAGTCATTGATTATTGAATTATGGATGTTAATGTTGAACGTGTATCGGTATATCTTATATTGTACTTTTTATGCAGTGATATCATGATGTAAATTTTTGGAATTAGGGAAATGATGAATTAAAAGATTATTATGATAATATTTTTATTTTATTACATGATATATATATATATATATAAAATACATATTATTTATCGTATCGCTAACGTGTCTGTATCCTTTTTTTTTGAAAAATTTCATGTCGTCGTGTCGTATCCGTGTTCGTCCTTCTTATGCGAGTATATTTAGCCAGCACAGGCAATCCATGTTTACTGCGACTCAAACTATGTACCCCATACTTTTTCATGAAGATTTTCTTCAAATGTAACCATCACTCGAGAAATAAGTTCCCAAAAAGAGTGACAAGCTCTCCATAACATTTCAACTTCTCATATTAACATATGAAAAAGTGTTCACTAACTCTGCTTAATTCATTTGATATTTGTTGCACAAAAAAATATAGACAAAAAGCTAATATGCTTGGCTTATATTTGCCAGCACAGAAGACTTATCTCAAAATGCAGAGATGGAACATCGTTTATGAATGATGTGGGTATGGTGAGATTATCAAAGTGGTTCTTGAGTCCAATGCAGGAAGAGATAGGGTATCTTTTTTGGGTGGGTGAATTGGGATTGAAGGTTTACCGTTTCATTTGTGGAATGAGGAAGTGTTTACGAAAATTGGGGATATTTGTGATGGTTTTGTGGAGGTGGATACAAGCACTCTGCTTGTGCAAAATCTTTTCCAGGTAAAAATTAAAGTAGCTGGGTGCGATAAGGGTTTCATTAATTCATTAATGTTGAATTCCAAGGGAAATGTTGTCAAATCAGAATTATAGTTACGTCGAGGCTTGTATACACAGCTAAGCATTGACAGAAGCTTAGGAGTTTGTATGGTAGTACGAAGAGATGGTACACTAGTCGGGAGGTAGAAGATGATGACATGGACAAAATTTGTACAGATGGAATCCAAAACAATATGGCAGCACAAAAGACTTATGTTCCAAAAAAGGATTGTTGTGAGATGAATGATGGAGATGATTGATGCTGCCTCCTGGAATGGAAAAGATATTTTTTTTCAGAAAATTCAGGAATGATGGATTTTGCATTTGGATAGAATTAGAGAACAAGAAATTGGCGGAATATGCAAGGGTTACTCAAACAATGAATAACGGGAGAAGAAAAGGAATGATTATCCCTAAAGGATTCCATGGAAGAGGGTGGGTAGACTATAGAAGGTTGCTTGGAAAAGGCTATGTTTGGTGGTTGATATTCTAGACCTGTATTGAGGAAAAGAATAGAGAGTCGGTGAAGGTGCTTGAATCCAATCCGATTTCTTGGGACTTTGGTTTCCATAGGATTCTCAATGATAAGGAAAGTTCTGAGTTGGTGATTCTTCTTTCTATGCTTAATACAATTTCCTTGATCCAAAATTTTGTGGAAAAGAGGATTTGAATTGTAATTCCACGAGTATCCTTGTAAACTTTTTTTTGAGTCTTTAATTGATAACCCTATATTCCTTTGTTCGAACCATTTTTGATGATTTGAAGGGTGAAGGTGCCTTTAAAGGTGCAGTTTTGGGCATAGATTATGTCTCACGGGAAGATTAGTATTAACGAGGTGTTACAAAAGAGGAGACCTAAGCATTGCCTTCAACCGCAATAGTGTGTTATGTGCAAAAGTGAAAGTGTTGATCATCTTTTCTTGAATTTCTCTTTGGCGTGAAGGTTATGGAATAAAGTTGTTCGATTATGTGGGCTTTCCTTGGGCTGCTCCAAAGAATTTGGCTTCTATGTTTTGCATGAATAATGTGGGTTTTGACAAGAATTATAGGTGGAAGACTATTTGGCATTGTACTTTTTTTACTACTCTTTGGGTCATTTGGACGAAAAGAAATGCTAGAATTTCTGAAGACAAGTGTGATGAGTTTGAAGGTCTCTGGGACAAGATTTATTTTTTGACATCTTTGCGAACCTTAGTTTCTAAGGATTTTGAAGATATTCATCTCTTTTGTTTCAAGGAAATCTGGAAGGCATCGTGTGGCTTGTAATTTGTTAATATTTTTTTTCTTTTGGTGGTGGACTGCTTGTCCACATTGGTTTTTGATTTTGTTATTAATAAAATCGTGTCTTATCGAAAAAAAAAAAGGATAAATATGATTCTGGGCTGAATTTTTGCTCAATTAGTGCAGTAAAAAGGTCATCTTTCCATGTTGGAGGGGAGATAATTAAGGGGGTGGTTAAAGGTAATCAGGCGTTATTGAAGGATAATTCAAATTTTGAAAAATTAGATGGGGATGCAACTGTGAGTGGAGGATTAAAAGATTTAATGAAGATATGGGATCAATGGGTTGTATTACACTATGGGCCAATAAATCACCAGATGGGCTTTCTAAAAGAAATCGCGGGCTGTTGGTGGGAAATAGGGCCCTATTGCAATTTGGGTCTCTCAATTTTTGTGTTAAAGAAGAGGGTGGAAGCCCAATGTGTGTGGGTCAACTTAAAGCCAAAAATGTGTTATTTTATGCAGAAGAATGCTCCGACCCAAAATGCATTAACCCACAACCTGAATTCTTTTAAGTGGACTGAGGAGAATAAGACTCGATCGATTAGGGCAAATATGAAGAAGACAATGACATTCTGGGGTCCTTTCTAGTTCATCACAGCGAAAACAACAAAGAGGAAAGAGAAGATATTGATGAACATTGTAGAATGAGCCCGGGGTTTGTAGCACGAGTTCGAGAAGTGTGATGTGACGAAGGAAGATTTTGATCTGCCAGAGGAGATTGAACAAAGATGGCCAAACCAAGCAGGTGGGATGAGTCTCAAAGAAGGTGCTCACTTCATGGGTTCCGATGAAGACCTAAACGATGATAACAACTGCGCAGAAAGTTCATAAAGTGAAGATATGGAGTCAGATAAAAGCAGCAGACGCAATTATGTTGTGTATCAAATTGGGGAATTATTTGATAATGGAGATGGTATGGATCTAGTGAAAAATGAAGACCGACCATTGTGAGGTTTTCAAATCAGAGGCTGAATTACAGGTAAGTGTTTCAAATGGACAGCAGTCCAAAGATTCTTCTTGTACTCTTTTCTGGGCAATTCAATTTATCATCTTGTTTTGTTGGGTTTGGTTTTTTTTTTTTTTTTTTTTTTTTTGGGGGGGGGGGGGCGCAGTGGTTAATATGGGTTGTGAGATCATTCTTTCAAATTTTCCTTCTTCTGAGGGTGATGGTATAGGGGAAGGTGTATTAGATGGTAAAGTGTGGTTTTCTTCATCTTTTTCTAGAGATAAAGGTTCTATGGTTTGTGGTAAACTGGCCAATTCAGTTTTGTTAGGGGAACAAACAGATGGTCCCTGTGTATTGAGAATCTAGATGCTACAAACAATTTAGATCTTAGGGATCCCATGGTAAAGCCTAGAAATGTAGTTGATTGCTTTCACCATGCGAGAGGCAACCTTATTCCAGAGTTGTGGAGTGATCGTGAAGATAGGAGTAATGTAGAGGACAAGTTCACATTATCAGATGAGAAAAAGTCATCTATTTTAAAGAATTTTTTGGAGAAGGTGAAATTATCCTTAGTATATAATAAAAGGAAGAATAAGAGGGCGGGGGAGGGGGAGGGCGATAGGAAGAGTAGGGGGATGAGGGAACTTAAAAATTTACAATGTGGGGTAAATTATGATGGAATACTAGCTAGGAGAGGTGGTGAGGGTGAAGATAGTTTGTCATGAAAATCATCAGTTGGAATATTAGGGGTCTTGGTTCTAGTAAGAAAAGAGTGCAAACTAAGAAAGTGCTTCTTAGATTAGGTCTAGATGATGTTTTGCAAGAGACTAAAAAGAAAAAAAATTGAGAGGAAATTGGTAAAAAGTGAATGGGAGGCTAGGTATAGGAATTGGGCTTGACTGCCATCAATTGGGAGGTCAAATGGTAAAGTAATTATTGGGGATGAGAGAACAGTTAATGTAGAGGAAGTGGTGGATGGGGAATTTTCACTATCGGTTAGGATTAGGTCCAATGTTGGTATTGAGTGGTGGCTAACAGGTGTTTATGGTCCAATTTGTCCTAGGGTGAGAGGTAAACTATGGGAGGAATTGGCAGGTCAGTATAGTTTGTGTTGGCCTCGGTGGTGTATTGGTGGAGACTTCAATGTATTTAGATATCATCTTACAGAAAAGCTGAATGGGAGTATGGCAACTAGGTATGAGAGATTTTGATTCATTCATAGGGGAAACTAGATTGAGGGACCCTCCTTTGAATAATGGAACGTTTACTTAGTCTAATTTTAGGGAAAATCCAACTTGCAATAGGTTGGATAGATTTCTTTTTTCTATTTAGCAGGGAGATTGTTTCCCAAGAGTGAGACAGGAAGTTCTTTCAAGAGTAGTGTCAGATCATTCTCCCATTCTTCTTCATTCTGTAATAATTAGGTGGGGTCCTTGTCCGTTTAGATTTGAGAGTACGTGGTTGGAACATCATGCTTTTCAAGGTCATTTTAGGGAGTGGTGGGTAAAAAGGAGGTATGAGGGTTGGGAAGGTTTTACATTTATGAAAAAGTTGGAACATGTGAAGCAAAAAGTTAAGATGTGAAATACGAAAGTAGTTGGAGATATAAGAATCATAAAAAATTTGATCATGAATAGGATTGGAGAGATTGATAAGATTGAGGAGAGTGGTAATTTAGATGAGAATTTAAGAAGGGAGATTAAAGAGTTGAGGAATAAGCTTGAGGAGGTGGTCTTTAAAGAAAAAATTAGTTGAAGGCAACAAGAGGGTGAAGGGGATAAAAAAGGGAGACAACAATTCTAAACTTTTCATAGGATTGCAAATGGTAAGAAAAATAAGAAATTTATTGAAAAGTTGGAGTTGGATAATAGAGTGATCATTGAAAATGAAATGATGATTGAGAGTAAAATTATTGAGTTTTTTTTATCATTTATATTCATCTTCTGGGAGCCTTAAACCTACATCAGAAGGTTTTGAGTGGAGTCCTATAAAGGAGAGGGCCTATTGAGGTGGAAGAAGTGAGAAAACTTGTGTTTTGTTGTGGTAGAGATAAGGCACTAGGTCCTGACGGTTTTACTTTGGCACTTTATCAAGATTGTTGGAATATTGTCAAAGAGGATTTAATGAGAGTTTTGAATGAATTTTTCCAAAGTGGAGCAGTTAATGTAATTACAAATGCCACATTTATATGTTTGACACCAAAAAAGGATAAATCAATGAAAATGAGGGATTTTAAACCGATTAGTTTGGTGTCCAGTCTCTATAAAATTATTGCAAAATTTTTATCCATATGATTAAGAGAACCTCTAAGTGATACCATTTCTGAGTGTCAAGGAGCTTTTGTTAAGGATAGACAAATTTTGGATGCAACACTTTTGGCTAATGAGATTGTAGAAGATTACAAAGCTAGAGGTGGGGAGGGCTTTGTTTTCAAGATTGATTTTGAGAAAGCATATGATCACGTGGAATGGGATAATGGGTCACCCTATGAATTTAAGGCATCTAGAGGTGGATTCTGGGGTGTTTATACTCTATGAATTTTAGATTTAAAGCATCTAGAGGTTTGAGATAGTGTGACCCATTATCTCATTTTTTTTTTACTTTAGTTGCGGTTGGATTAAGCATGTAAGTTAGGAGGGCAAAGAGTTGTGATCTAGTGAGAGGGTTTATTGTAGGGAGAGAGAGGATTTTGGTCTCTCATTAATGATACAATATTCTTCTCTGAACGGAATAAAGAAAAAATAGTAAATTTTAAGCATATTGTGGATGTTTTGGTTTGGTGTCTGGTTTGAAAGTGAACATGGATAAAAATGTTCTAGTGGGAATCAACTCATGTATTGAAAAGGTCAATCGAATTGCAGGGCTCTCGGGATATAAGATAGGAAAATGACCTTTAAAATACTTAGGATTACCTTTGGGTGGGAATTCATTGTCACTAACTTGTTGAGATTCGGTGGTAGAAAGAGTGGGAAAAAAGTTGCATGGTGGAAAAGAGCTTTCATTTCAAGAGGTGGCAAGTCAACTTTAGTGTAGTCAGTCCTAGCTAGTATTTTGTCATATTTTTTATCTTTATTTAAAATGCCAAGGAGAATTGTTTTGAAGGTAGAAAAAATGATGAGGGATTTTGTGAGAGGTTAATGGCGAGGGGAGGAAAGATCATTTAATAAACTGGAGGGTACTTTCTAGTCCTAGGGACAAAGTAGGCCTTTCTATTGGTAATTTGAAGGTAAGAAATATAGCATTAATGAGTAAGTGGTTGTGGAGGTTTCCATTAGAACCAAATTCTTTGTAGCATTAAATTATTAAGAGCAAGTGTAGTTTACAAGCTAATAAATGGGACACTAATAGGGTTGAGAGGATAAGTTTTTGCTGTCCATGAAAATTCGTATTTTGGGGCTTGACAAGGTTTTTCCGAAGAGTTGAGATTTGTAATGGGTAATGGGGAGAGAATCCATTTTTGAGAGGATGCTTGGGTGGGGGAGTTATCTTTTTCATTTATGGATCCACGTCTATCAACTAGCTTATTCTCAAAGTGTTTCTTTTGCTTTTGTGTCAAAGTTTTTTAACCATCCATACCCTTGGGATTTAGGATTCTGCAGGAATATAAGAGATCGAGACATTGGGGATCTCACTTCATTTCTTGATATCCTAAATAGTTGTTTGTTGAATCGTGCGTAATGTGATAAAAGAAGGGGGGTGCTTGAATCGTTTGGTGTATTTTCTTGTAAATCCTTCTTTGATGCATCGTTAAATCAATATTATTGTCTTATTTTTGCCTTGCTTTGATGATATGGAAGGCTAAAGTGCTTGTTAAAGTACAAGTTTTTGCATGGACTGTTACATGTGGAAAGTTTAACACTTGTGATGTGCTTCAGAAAAAAAAAACCTCATACTAGTTTTTTGCTACAGTGGTGTGTGATGTGTAAAAATGATTTTAAAAGTATAGATCACTTATTTTTGCATTGCCTTGTTGCTTTGGTTATGTGGTATAAATTGTTTCGAGTGGCAGATTTGGGTTGGGTACTTCCTTTATCATCTATATCCTTCTTTATTGAAGATATGAAAGGCTCTGAGAGGTTCGATTAAGATGTGACTCTTTGGAATTATGCTATTATTGCTACTTTTTGGGTTATTTAGAAGGAAAGAAATACAAGAATCTTTGAAGATCGATAGAAGTCTTTGGATGGTTTATGGGATCTTATTCATTTCTTGGCCTCATTTTGGGCTTTAGTTTGTAAGGATTTTAAAGGAATCCCACTCTTTGCAATCGTAGCGGGATGGAGAGAAAATTTTGCTGATTAACTTTTATTTCTTAATCATTAATAAAACATCTGGTTTCTTGTCAAAAACAAATGGCTACAAACAAGTAAAATGCATATTTTCTGAGGAAACAGCAAAAAACACAATTAAATATCACCAGTTGAATATTCATCCCTTCTAAGTAAAGATGCATATCCTGGACATAGTGAAGTGTGGCTTCTCATGGAGTAACTATCTTCTGAAACTTAGAGAAATAAGGTGGCTTCCCTTTTCTAAAAGAACATGTAGGCAAAATCTATGAAGCTGAACTTGCCTGAATGACAGCCAAAGCAATTCTGTACAACATGACTTCAGTGCTGTTTTCTCGTACAATTTGCACTTGCTCTCCAAGAATCCTAAATAAATCAACAGCAGCTGGCGTATATAACTTTCCATCATCAGTTTTCTTTGGCGGCTGCACCTTATCTGCCTCAAGTATATTCAAATACCATTTCTAGAAAACAGGATGACCGAAAAGCAATTGTTACACAGAAATATTGGAGATATGAGCAATTTGATAATAACAATAATAACATAATAATCCAACAAAAACCATCAAATATTATGTTGTTACCCTTGTCGTGGCTTGCATTCTTTCCACATATGAATTCATCAGGGGATCCATTGCACCACTCTCAGAACAAACTTGAGCTAAGGACTCATCAACCCCAAGTCCAATCAGATTATCTTGGTATTCAACTACCCAACCAGTTACCTAATTCCATTGAAAAACAATAACTAGCATAAAGCATTTAGGAGTCAACAAGCACTAGTAGAAAAGAAGCACCAATAACAACAAAGAAAGGGAAAGCAAAAGGAAAGATAAAAAAATAATACGTATAACATGAAATCATGACAATATAGGGAAAGAATCAAAATGGAACAAAAACAAAACTCGTCACAAATAGAAGAATGTTTTCCTCTTGGAAAAACCGTTCCCATTCAAAATGAATGACTGGGATGATCTATTATTCATTGTGTAATTACTTTTAGACTACTGCCTCCAATAATGTAATTTCATAGGAGCTGGATGTCTCAATGCCTTTGGTGAGATGCCAATCAGACATGAAGAACATATTTTCTAGTGTCCCCTGACATAAAAAGTAGATTTTCAAGTCATCATTCCATGCATATGGTATGTTATAATAACTATCCAGCCTTGGAAGACCTGATAGAACTGTTATGTAACAGACATCTCCCCGACCAGGATAAATCATGAAATTAAATGGAATGAACACAGCTGTTAAGAGCATGACAGACATGCATCTTTTTTCCAATGCAGAAAAATACGTCTGCAATGAACTTTCCAGAGAGATAAACATACATCCACATAGCAACTAAGATTAGAACCCCCCCTCCCAAAAAAATATATATGTGTGTGTGTGTGTGTGTGTGTGTGTATTACGGGTAAGATGTAACGGTCAAACCACTGGAAAAATTACTCTTCTGCTGAAGTGGCATGTTTCAATCATCTCACAACACTCAAATAATTCCAGATTGAAACAACAAAATATCCAAATCACATACCTTTAAAATCTCTATATTGGTCAAATCGTTAGCCCGATCACTAAGCAGTCTCAGCCACTGAATAAACCTCTCGGTATAAAGATTAACCATGAGCTGGAATATTTCGTATCTGAGAGCAAAAAAAAAAAAATTCAAACAAAAAAGAATAAAGATCAGATTTTCGTAAAAACATGTTGACCATGAATAATATTCATTGTGATATTAAATACTCCAAATTCAACTCCAACTCAGGCAAATTAAAAGCACATACAACACGATGAGATTTTTTGGATTGTCCCTTTGTCATCAGTTGGCACCTCATAAGTGCACTGGCTAAGTTTGTTTTTACTTATGTAAGATCCTCAAGCATATCTTTGGCGTAGTAGCCTGTGGGCACCACATCATTGTCATTTTGGTGCCAAGGCACCTCAAAAGTGCACTGGCTAAGTTTGTTATTACTTATGTAAGATCCTCAAGCATATATTTGGCACGTTCATTTTGGTGCTAAATGATCAGAATTTTGATCAAATTGGTATTCTTCAGGAAAAGCTAGCATCATTTGACTGCTTTTGATCAAATTGGTACTGCATTTTAGTAAAATTACAATTCTTCAAAATTCAATTTTCAAATTTTGAAAAATGCAATCTGATCACCTAGTAATTAGTTGCTCTTCAGGAAATTTTGGCAGGTATTCTATACCAATGTGGAGCTAAATAACAACAGCCATTATCAAAGGAGCAAATGTGCAACTGACACCCTAAGGAATCTATCACCATGCAAAATAACAGTCAGATATTTGTATGTAATTAACGCACGAATTTCAATCTAGATGCCCAAAAGGGCAAACCAATCCTCCAAACATAGACATGGGAAAGTGGGTCAACATCCTTGTGAACAACCACAGACAAGTATATTCTAGAGGAATTTTAGTAGGTAAGTAAGATGACCAAGAACTTGAATTTAATTCCTAAGCTTAAGCACAGAGACGAGGGTACTACAGTGCATTTGGCAAGTGGCCAGTTGAACTGAATGTTGGTGATTGAAAAAGCAGTACCATTCCAAATACACACCGAAAAAAATTACCTTCAGTTGCAATATTTTCCAGACTAGAACCAGATCACTTGACAAAATTTGTCTTCTTCTTCTTTCTTTTTTGTTTTCCCCAGAAGTGATTAACAAAGGTTGCGGTTGTTGAGGAAAAATTGGCTTATCCACAACAGTCAAATAACTCTACTTCAAGACCAAACCACCACAAAAGTGGCAATGGCAAAAGAAAATGCATGGGACAATATACCCTTTCCTCATTCCATTAGAAGAGGAGTTTTTAAACCCCACACCAGATGGGAAACACACACCCATTGGGTTGCCCTCAATACAGAATAAACTCAAATTTGTTCATAAATTTCCACAAAATCTCCGCTTGTTGGCATGCATGCAATCTCATAAGTTTTTTAAAGCCTTCATAGACCAATGATATAAGGTGCTGACATGACTTCGCAGGGTTTTAGTTCATCAGTATAATTTGTCACCATCAAATCAAAGCATTTAAGAGAAATTAAGTTGCTTTGTTATTAAAGAAAAAAAAAGCCCCTTGATGGCTGATGCTTCCACACTCCTATCACTTCAGCTATGAGAATGAAAACATTAACTTCAAGAAGACTGAGCATTAAATAAATTCATCTTCTTATAATACAAAATCCTTTTTAACAAGAGGTAATATGTTGTTGAGTGAAGAACAAATTTTGAGAGGTGACAACAAGATGGTCTCCGCAAAATGACAACAAAGTCATATATTGGACGGCCTATAAGTCTAGGACCTAGTAAACTGTTCATAGAAAACTGCATAACTAAAATGTAATATAACATTAGACATTCAACTTTTATTGCAGTTTGAAATGAAGCACAAAGCATGAGGTTCATTCCACATCCTAAAGTTGGGAACTTCTGAAACTGAAATTGAGCATATAAAGAATTGAGTTCAATAAAGCCTAGTAAATAGATATGCAAGAAGAAACAAAATTACTCACTACTAGTCTACTACCCAAATATTAACCAATGAAGATGAACAGGACTTACAAACAAAGAAGAGACTATAGTCCTACAGCTAAATCTATCTTATTTTACCTTTTTCAAGAACTGTAATCTTATTTTACAATTTTAGACAAAAATATTAGTATGCAGAACATCATTTTAATTCTGTAAATTTGGTTCTACATCTAGCCTAGGTTTCAAATGTCAGTCTCTACATCATTATCAAAGTAACAGATTTACTATATTCAGAAATACACTGACCGAATTTGAAATGTCTGGAAATGGAAACAAAATTGTAAAATAGTTTAAAATCGTTCTGGCCGGTTGTTTGTAATTTCTAGTGGGTGTATATAGAACTGCATTAAACGTGACAACAAATGAAAGGTCCAGGAATTAAGAGAACATGATACTGAATGAGTTGGTCAACATAGCGGACCAAAAAGATTTAGTCAACATTCTTAAATTAAACAAAAAAGGAAGACTATCAATGTAATATATATAACTATAAAACTGGTAGACTGTGTCATGAGTTTGACAGGAAGACCAGAGCAGGAGCTAGCAAAAGAAAAAAGGAAAATCAGCGCAGGCTTGAAAAATCCATTATTAAATAAGATGACAGTGGAGATATATCACATGACCATAAAATATACAAGCTCACTAACAGTTATAGCAAAAATATTCAGCTTATTTTTCAGGATTCCATTAATGTAGAAACACCTAAGGGACTAAGTTAACAAACGGCAACAAAGTCACCAGACAATCATGTATTTTGGCATGTAGTTTATTGTTGCCACCTAAATGACACTTAATAGAGAAGAATGGTGAAACAAGATTAATATAACTGACCCCAGAAATGTTGGGACAAACTTTGTTGAATTGAGTAAAAACACCTCAAAATTAAGCAATTTAAGATGTAGATATCACTAAGCAACAACGGATTCAGTAACAATAAAGATTTAAAGAGCAATAAGCTAATTCTATCTTGAAAAATAAGTCAAACTAACAATAGCCTTATCCCAACTATTCCGGACTAGCCACACGAATCTTATTTTGCCAGTTTGCACTATCAATGGTTATATTTCCCACTTACCATAGGCTATCATATATGTCTTTTACTATCTCAACTAAAATTAATTTCATTCTAACTCTACTTCACGCATACCGTCAGTAGGTATAATACCATTCTTCCTCACTGGTACAATATTAGGCTTTTAATGAATATGTCCAAATCACCTAACTCAGATTCTTTCTTAATTTATCTCCTATTGGGACTACTTTTACCTAATTATGAATATGAATGAGGTATCCTTTACATAGTAACAGTCTTCGTTCTACAGCAGTTAGTTTTTTAGACCGTAAAAGTTGACTGCAAAAACAAAGAAGAAAGTGAGAACAAGGAGCAATGTAAGACGATCAAACCTTGGAGGAAAACAAGGAGCCACATAATCATATATATCACCAAGCTCTTCACCAATCTGAAAGTTCATTAATGAGACTGAATGTCACAACGAATGCAAGCTAAGCCTATCTTGACAAAGCCGATATATAAGGAACCAAACAATTATACTAATACCAAGAACAAAGCCTTAAGAATGAGCATAAATTCAAGTAGCAAAAGACTCAAACCATAAAAGTCATATGAGCAAATAATTAAATCATATAGCATAGACATATTTAATGTACATCTTCCAACGGAAACTTCAACCATGCATCTCCCCTTTGAGTCAGGCAGTAGTTACTACTTAAGCCACAAGTGGGGGCAGAATAGATTATGCATGAGTCTACCTCCAAACAGTAGTTGTTGCTTCATTACTTCTAAACTATTCAATAGGTAAGTAAAAGGAAAAGTAAAATTTCTGCAGTATCTAATATCACCATGCAAGGTGAGACCATGAGTTCCTCATAAAGGCCTGAATCTGAATAAAAATTGTTCGAATCACCTAATTTCCATTTATAATGTCAAAACATATTATTCAGAGGAGTAAAACGTTTGGGAGGATCAAAGGACCCTGCTATTCTTTCAATCAGAGAAACGTTGGGGACTGGGAAGGGTTATAACATAACGATATACGCATGAAAAGACAAAAAAAAAATGAATACAAATGTTAGCAGGTGAATTGAAGAGTTGAAAAACCTAAAACCACCAGAATTGATACCCCAATGAGTTTAGTTTCAGACATTCTAGTAAAACATGCTAAACTTCCTATGTGTATAACTAGATTAAGTAACCCTTCTATTCTTATTCTGGGTCACTGTTCCTATGAACAGAGCTTGGACCCCATATCAAATTAATTGAACCAAAGGCTGAGTGGTATACTTGAAGAGCAACCCCATTAATTGTCAATTGGTTTTAGATTAGATGCACTAACATTATATCACAGTGGGGCCTTGGTTGGTCGGTCTTGAATTCTCGGTTCAACCTCTAGTTTGTTTACCAGTCTATTTCTGTTTAGTTTGTTAGCCCACGTTTGCCCCTAGATCACATTTGAGGAAGAGAGGGAAAAGAAAATAACAATCAAATAAAAGAATATGCATTCATTTTGAGTTCCCTAAGAGAAGGCTACAGGGGAAAATGGAACCAAACAATGCGAGGAGGAATTAAGATGAGATAAGTATACCATTCGAGCCTCATCTAAAGCAGCTTTCAGATCTTCAAATCCAAGCTGATACCAATTTACTGTTAGAACGCTAACGATACCAAAAATAACTATAGTAGCAATAACTGAAAACTTGCTCCCAGAAAAGAAAAGAAAAAAATTAGGCTGAATCACTACAGGAAAAAGAAAAGTGTGAAAGACAAGACCTCAATTAACAATTTGTTAAATCGTTCTTCAACAGACTTCCTTATTTGTTCATAACATTTATCCTTGTAGCCTTTACCCTGAATTTTCAACTTCTGCTGTGCAAGATTTCTAGGAGATGCAGTCGCGGTTGTAGATTTTCTACACACCAGAAGAAAATTTTTTAGCATTTGACAAAATGACGCATGCAGTTTGTATGAAAAAAAAAGTGCAACACAATTTAAAGATATGTCATAGATACATTAATCACAGCACGAGGACAGCTAATAAAGTAAATCAAGATAGATACTTGGCAGTTCTGCGAGGATTTGTAATTGATGCCATTGCACCACTTCCCTCCGCCTCAGCTGCTTCCTCGGCAAGTTGCTGATCAAGGATTTCTTGCATTTCAACAACCCTAAAAAGAAAATACAGGGGAAAATAAAAATAAGAGTTGTTAGATCTTAGGTCGTATAGAATAATTAAACCACATACAGAAGAATATATTATTTTATTGCAGAATATATCACATTGTGGAAAATGCCACACTCCTGTACAGAAGACATATGCATTGTAGCACATACCCCACCTTCCCACTAGGTTAAATTATCACACCAAACATTTTGGCATAACATGTTATCTTTTTCTTCTCCCAGTACTTTGAGACCACATTTTTATGTTAAGTACAAAACAGAATGTCTAACTCCCTCTCTTTGCTACCAAAGACAATCAACAGTCTCCACCACCCAAATCAACCGTACCTCAAAGCACGAACAAGAGTTTGTGGGCTGCAAAAAAGGTACACAAGGACAAATAAGCATCATAAGGATCATAAAACATAGAGAGGACATTAGTAAGATATAAGAAGGTTTATTGAGAGATGCACAATAGAAACATCTGCCAATCACACTCTACTATCCGGGGTAAAAACACGAAAATGCTTATCCAGATCATCCCAAGTATCATACTACAATTTAGCTCTATGGTTTGTACAAATGATTAACACCAAAAATATAAAAATATAAGTCAGAAGCCCATCAGTTAAGGCATCTTCATAAAAGACAGTTCTACCTTTCTTTAGCAAGTTTAAAGAAGTTGCGAATATGATCCCATAATGTCTTCTCAAATGTCTCCCAAGTGCGATCAACATCTTCAAAATATTCCCTGAGAAAATTTTTATGAGTAAGATACTAAGATCCAACATAACAAGTTAGACAGCCTCCCAGCACAAGACCTGTGCCAAATATCCATGAACACATCCAATTTGTGTCTGCAAGCTCTGCCATGCACTAATCTTTAAGACAAGTGCATTCACTCAATTTTAAAAAGTGCCCAGGTTTCGCCTGTTAATTTTATCTGAGATAAATATTGATGTCTATTGAATGGAGAATGACTTTGGCCCAAAGCCAAAATGATGCTGAGACAGTTATCATTCAAAACAGAGTATCACAAAAGAGGTCAACTGTGTTAATTTTCATAACTGGTTGGCACAAAAGAGGTGAACTGCGTTAATTTTCAGAGCTGGGTGGCACAAAAGAGTGAACGGCATGACATTGCAGGATTTGGCAACGAATTTGTTCCTGATCCTAGCAGACCACTAAAATTGAGAATTCAAATCAGTATGCATCAAAAGAGAGCTTCCAAACAACTAAAGGAACTCATGGCCGATAGTGAGATTGATATGAATTATGAGCACCATAACAAACAGGAGTAGTAGATCCTGACCTTAGTCTACCAACTTCTTCTTTGTGAGATCCTGCAGTAGCTAATGCAAACCTCCGCTTTCCATCTAGAGCTGTTAACCTCTATGACCAATGCAGCAATATAAATAACAGACTAAAGCACTTGTGAAATATGAGAATCATCAACTTTGAAAAAACTGGTGAGCTAGAATGAATTTACCTCAAAAGTGTTAATGAGTTCCTTATCATCACTCAAAGAATCACGAGCTTCAGAAGCTTCGACAGAAATTGACATCATTCCCTCCACATCCTACAAAGAGTAAGATCTTAGGTGGATTTTAAAGCAAAGAAACCTAGAAAGTAGGTTATACACTTTATAAAAGCCTGCTGTTCCTGAAAAATAGTGAACTTTTGGCAACAGAAATTCTAAAGGCGTGCTGATCCAATGGCACCCCAGCCTCTGCTGCAGGTTATTGGGAACCCGCTACTATTAGCATTCTGCTGCATGAATCATAGTCGTACAAAATTATGTCCACATTCATTTATCGTACATAGAGGTCGAACCTATAACAATGGCAAGTGTTCATCAACTTGAGTCCAAAAATCAGCCTCCCTAAAATAAAAGTAAGGCAGTCTATCACTTCCCTCACCCAAACCCCGCTACAAGCAGGAGTCTTGTGCATTGTGTCTTACCTTTTTATATTCATTAATGAATATATGTGTGCATATTAAATTTAACTGAAAAGCTTGAAATGTTTATATTAAAAACAAAATAAACTACAATCACCTTTAGAGTGGTGTTTAAATTATTCCTCGCATTACTAAGGAGTTTTATCTGGTCATGATTTTCAATTAATGTTTGGCATTCTTGGCATAGCCTGTTCACAAGGAAGGCACTCATGTTAGCAGCAAAGATAACTAACCATATGTGAATAGCACATTAAATAATAGAAACCACAAGAAAAAGCATAGTATTGACTTGGAATGTCACACCAAAAACATACTTCTCAATCGAAACAAAGTTCCCACGAAGCTGGTTTATTGTCTTTTGAGAGAAGGAAAGTGATTCTAGACCAGCTTGAGCTTGTTCAACCTGCCACCCAAGAAACCATTTAAGCCCCAAAAATAGATCAAAATGTAAATGTGAAATAGCTAGCCCGAGTTTCCGCAAATCCAATAGCTTATAGAAAAGAAAAAACACTAAAGGCCGACAGAAATAAGTTAGGACTACAATATTTCAGATGACCTGTTCAGCAACCATCGTACTGAGCTGTGCATCATTTGCCTGGTATTAAACAACAATTCGCAAAGTTCAGTATATAATCTAGAGGTTTTCAAACATCTAAGACACTAAATGAATGCCATTAATATGAGAAATCAAAGAACCAAAGTGCCCTCCAAATCCATGGAAGTTGTGAACATAATTGACGAAATCAATTATGTCATGATCTTATGGCATGCTTGTACTAGCATTTTTACCATCAAGTACATCTTATATCAAGCTGAAGATCAAATGAACCAAATAAAAAATATAGCCTGTTCATTATTAGCTAAAGCATAGCCTACGAATGCTTGAAGTCAAAGTGCCACCCAAAGTTGTTAGTATCGTACGATACACGATACGTATCGTACGATACGTTACGATACAGCCCTTAAACGATACGGATCGTAGTTATGTATCGTTTTTGCGTTGTATCGTCCGATACACGATACGTTTTTACGATACGATACGTATCGGTACGAAACGCACGATACGTGCAATTTTTTTTTTTTTTTTTTTTTTTTTTTTTTAAAACGACGTCGTTTGAAGTGTGTTGAATTTTTTTTTTTCAATTCCCTATAACCACTGAAACGACGTCGTTTCAGTGGTTAGGGTTACAAAAAAAAAATTCAGACATTTCTCACATATATCAGACATTTCAGCCATCGACCGACGTCTGGTTTCTCTCAGCCATCGACCGATGTCTGTCGTTTCTCTTCAGCCATCGACCGACGTCTGTGGGTGGGTGATGATCGACTGTGGGAAGTCTTCGACTTGTAGGTGGTGATCGCTGTGGGTGGTCTTCGACTGTGTGGGTGGTCTATCGACGACGTCTGTGGTTTCTCTTCAGCTATCGACTGTGGGTGGGTGATGATCGACTGTGGGTGGTGAACGTTGTAGGTGGTGATCGCTGTGGGTGGTCTTCGACTGTGTGGGTGGTCTTCGACTGTGTTCGACTGGTCTCCGACTGGGTGGGTGGTCTTCGACTGTGGGTGGTCTTCGACTGGTCTCCGACTGGGTGGGTGGTCTTCGACTGTGTTCGACTGGTCTCCGACTGGGTGGGTGGTCTTCGACTGTGGGTGGTCTTCGAGTCTGGGTGGTGATCGATTGTGGGTGGTCTCCAACTGTGGGTGATTGCCGGTCTTCGTCTGTGGGTGATTGCTTGTCTCCGACTGTGGGTGTTGATCGCTGCCTTCTTCCTTCTCTAGGTACTCCTTTTTCTTCTTCTTCCCAGTCTCCATTGATCGTTGGTCCTGTGCAGTATGTAATGATATTAATTTATTTACAAAGCCAAATGTATATAAATTTTTTTGTATAAAAATTTCTGAATCTTGATTAATTTTAATTTTGTGCAACAGTGGCATCACCTGCATCCAATTTTCATATAGAAATGACTAAAAAACTTGCTAATGATCCCACATGGGAACATTGTGACAAAGTAGAAGGATCAAGGTTGAAATTGAAATGCATTCATTGTGCAAATGTCTATTGGGGAGGCATTTCAAGAATGAAAAATCATTTGGCAAGTAATCGCAAAGATGTAGCAGCGTGTAAGCATTGTCCTGAGGAAGTAACTGAATTTTTTAAGCAATTATTGGATGATAGGGCAATTAGCAAAGATATGAGTCTTGTGGATTCGAAAAGTAGTGGCAGTGTGGGTAGTACTACTGCTGATAAAATACAGCCAACCACCACAATTACTTTGAATACTATGTTGAAGAAAAGGGTAGGGAAGATGTATGCTTGGATATTTGTAGATGTTTTTATGCTAATGCCCTTCCTTTTAATTTGGTAAAGGATCCATATTTTGTAAGAATGTTAGAATCTGTTGCATCGTTTGGTAAGGGATTGAAACCTCCATCGTATCATGAGGTGAGATGTTCTTTTTTGAAAAAAGAAACAAATTTGATTAATGGTGGGTTGATGGAAAATTATAAAGCAGAGTGGAGAAGGACGGGTTGTACTCTTATGTCTGATGGATGGACTGATGGGAAACATCGCTCTATCACTAATTTTTTAGTGAATAGTCCTAGAGGAAGTGTGTTTCTTAAAAGTATTGATACTTCAGGTATTTGTAAGAATGCGGATAATCTTTTTGAGCTTTTAGATTCAATGGTAGAAGAGATTGGTGAGGATAATGTTGTTCAGGTTGTAACTGATAGTGCATCGGCTTATGTAAAAGCTGGGGAGTTGTTAATGGCAAAGAGGAAAAAGTTGTTTTGGTCTCCTTGCGGTGCACATTGTCTAGATCTCATTTTGACGGATATTGGGGACCTTCCTCTGCACAAGGATATAATGTCAAAGGCAAGGAAAATCACAGTTTACATTAATAGACATTCTTGGGTGTTAAATCTTATGAGAAAGTATACAAAGAAAAGGGATTTGGTGAGAGCTTGTGTGACCAGATTTGCCACCTCATATTTAACTTTAAGGAGTTTATTTGAAAATAAAATTGGGCTTAGAGCAATGTTTGTTTCTGAGGAATGGCAGAGAAGTCAATATTGTAAGAAGGGAGATGGTGTAAAAGTGATGGATATTATACTAGCTGACCAAAATTTTTGGGGATCAATCAAGTATTGCTTGAAGTGTGTGTTGCCATTGGTGAAGGTGTTGAGGCTTGTAGATGGGGATCTAAAGCCTGCCATGGGGTATATTTATGAGGCAATGGACAAGGCAAAGGAACAAATCCAAAAGAATTTTCGTAATGTGAAGAAGCACTATGAGCCCATATGGACTATTGTTGACACTAGATGGAACATGCAATTACACAGACCTCTTCATGCAGCTGCCTATTATCTCAATCCCGCGTAAGACTTAATTTTCTCAATTTTTATATCATTTTATATCTATATATTGTATGCTGATCAATGATCATTGTAAATCAAAATAATTATTTCAGGTTTCATTACACCGGTAGTGCGGACTATGAGATAAAGATGGGACTATATCAGACTATTCAGAGAATGTGCCCAAGTCCTATTATGAGAGAAAAAGTTGATAAACAATTAGATATCTTTCATAATGCTGATTTGATGTTTGGAATGGACATGGCAATCCAAATGAGGAAGAAGAAACAACCTGGTTAGTGGTAACTTAACTTAAGTTAGTTATTTGAATGTAACTGCTTAAGTTAGTTAATAGAGTATTCTATTGTAATTTTTTATAGCCTTGTGGTGGGATTCATTTGGAGGATGTTGTCCAGAGTTGCAACAACTTGCTATCCGCGTCCTTAGCTTGACTTGTAGTGCCACTGGATGTGAGAGGAATTGGAGTACATTTGACCAGGTGCACTCTAAGAGGAGAAATCGATTAGAGCAACAAAGATTAAGTGCACTTGTGTTTGTGAAGTACAATCTTCGATTGGAGGCAAGACACCAAAAGAGAATACTAGAGGGTGATTCCTATGATCCTATTTCTCTCTCAGATATGGAATCTGATGATGAGTGGATCACTGAAAATGAAGATGCACTCCTTCCTGAGGACACTACTTGGATGAATGTTGGTGAATGTTTTGAGGTTCAAGAAGAGACTAGCAAAAAGAGAAAGAGAGGTAATTAAAATGTAGTGGTTGTTTTTTCTTCTTCTCCATTACTTTGAATTTTATTTTTTTTATATTTTGTATTGGTTGCTTTGTAGGGCCTAGAAATCTTACTTTATACAAGAAAAAAGGAAAGCAAATAGTTCAACTTGAAGATGAGGATGAGGATGAGGATGAGGATGAGGATGAACAAATACAAGAAGTTGAAGATGATAAAGGAAGTGAAGACTTGTTGGCATCCGATCACAATGATGATGATGATGATGCATTTTCAATTGAAATTGAAGATTGAGTTCAAAATGGATGTTAGAAATTTGGATTAGAAGTCTCTTTGGTGTTTAAAGTTTGAATTAGTGAACTATGGTTGTGAACTTTGCATTATAATAGTAGTGGATTATGTTGATAACTTGAATAGTTGGTGGAGTATTAATGAAATGCTATATTTTTTATGAGTGTATGACTTTTTTTCAAAGGTATATATATTTTTTTATTATTTATTTAAAATTGCATCGTATCTTACGATACACGATACGATACACGATACGATACAATATTTGTATCTTACGATACGCCTTCCGATACACGATTTGATAACTTTGGTGCCACCTAGTGAACAATGTACAACATGATAACTGCCCATACATTTATCAACCACATTTGACTTCATTTACACCATTCAGGAAGTGAGACAGACATGCGTAAGCTCAAGTTTTCCAAATTGTGGTGGCATCTGGCTGACACAAAGTCCTCTAGCTGCAGGATCGCAAACATCCATTTCAGAGGCTCACACTGGAAACACCTTACCTCCACTATTAAGTGTGTAAGAGGAAAGAATCCAAGATGATAGGGTATTATTAAGGGTGTCATTGAAAACGCCAATATGGAATAACTTCTTCCTAGTTGATACTTGTAATCCTTCATAGGAGCGCTATCTACTTCCACTTTTATGTTGGAGATAATACTTTATTAATTAAAGCAAGGGTCATCAGTTAATGAACCTCCATCCACTCTGATATTTCTGGAGAAAACATTCCAGATAATTCCACCTTCCTCCCTTTTATTTACTTTTCTATATATATATATGTATAGTCTCGAAAAAAGATGGCAAGATACAAGGTATATACCAAAGAAATATAAACATCCACTTAAGGAACTTTGGTTGGAAGCTATTTCCATTCTATTTAATCAACAAAATAAATTCTTGTCCAAAAAGAAAGCAATTTCCTGATAACAAGATTGATGTACCAAAGAGCTTGCCGAGATGTCCAGTATCAGGTGATATCCTCGCATTAGTCACGATTCAGCATTGCCATATCAAAGATTTTGATCACATTTCTAAAGCTTTCAATGTTCACATCTTCATTGTGATATGGGCACATAACAATCAGAGTTTCATCAGAGTTGCCTTGAGCTAATTAGAAATAAGTTAAGCTCTCAAGAAGACAAATAGTTCCATCCGATGAATAACTTTTACCGTTGAAAAAAGAAAAAATACTTTGACCACGCAAATGTAAGTAGAAAAAATCTTACCAGCAAAAAAAAATGTAGAAAAAAATCTTCAAATTAAAAATAGCTAATTTCTAGCTCAATTATTCTATCTCCAAAGACAAAAACACTTTCTAAGAATAAGTTGAACAATATTCTAAATGGTGCACAATTTCTAAATTCGAAGCCAGATATTCTCTTCAAGGTTTTTAGTTATAAACTCTATGGCGAATATGAAATGTGAATCATGCGATCATTATCCCAGCTCAACATACGAAATTCAAACATGTGACCAAGCAATACTATTACATATCCGTTGGAATTTAAAGCACAAATTTAACCAATAGAACTTTGAATATGAACCTGTTGGCGAGCAATGTAATCGGCTTTGATTGAGGAAATGGATTGCAGAAGCTCCGGAAGTGGCAACAGCTTTGCGACCTCGCGCACTGCAGCTTCTTTAGCTTCAATACCAAGATCTTCGACCATCATCATGTGCACAACTACACAGTTCCCACCCAAATCAGCATACAATGTGTGTGTGTGTGTGTATATACTAGCTAACGCCCGCACAGGCTATTACAAAAAAAAATTAGAAAGAGACGGATATATGCATTTAAAGTATTCAATATTTATCAGAATTCAACAAAAACAACAAAACCAAAACCAAAACAAAATAGAGCATGAGACACAAAAATGTAACTCACTTTCATCCAATATTTTGTACAACCAAACAGGGCACCAAGTTCTGAACCAAGACATATTAGTATCATTAATTAAGAAAACAAAACAGTGCACGAAATTCCGAACAACCACCTAAATCTAAAACAATTGGCTAACCAATTAACTTCAAAACACACCAATCAGACAAATCATCGCTTAATTGAAAATACTATTCAATCAAATGCAAAAAACTTGCAGATAATTAACAAAGAGAAAATAACTCAGAGAAATTCCAGTAGGGAGAATAGAATTTTAGAGAGAGCAAAATAGATGTAATTTCATATTGGCCAGATCTATGATACTCTTTTTCCTTAATACTTCCGATACTTAAAAAACATAACTGAAAGCAACGACTACATGCACAAATGTGAAAAACTACTCATAATTTATTATGTCCACATAAAGAAAAAGCATCGAGAATGGAGATCCTTAACCTTTTTTTCTAATGTAGCAAATTCATATATATAATCTTTGCATATCAAAGGTAGGATATGGGAAAAGGCCTGGTTGTGTGATTAAATGCCTATTAGCTGCAACATAAATAAGTTTTTAAGCAGGCAAAGAAACATTAGTCGAGCATTATCAAAGATAACATACAAAACTATCAATGCAGCCATTCATCAAGGCAAAAGAATAAGTGAATTTCAATATTAAACCACAAATAACCTAATTTGCGTTTGAAGTCAGTAGTGCATAAAGAATGGTCCAGATAGCATACATCAGAAGTAGCTTTATAAGAAAAATTTACAATGCTGCTCCAATAAGTAGGCGCACACTGCAATTCCAAAAACAAAAGCCCCAGAGGCTAATGAAAAAGAACAAAATAGAGTTTTAACCCATCCATCAAGAGTTGTGTGGACAAAACAGATGAATATTTTAGAAATCCATTTCTCGTAAAATACACACTTTTATGCATTCAACTATGAAATTTCAAAATCTCATGCACAAATTTCATAATCTCACGAAATTTCATCAAACATGTGATGGGTGTAGTTGGTGGAGGAAAGGGACCCTTTGGGATGTGGTGCTGGTGGCTCTAATTTGGGAAAGGGTAAAATTCTGAGATTGTGGCAGTGGATGAAGAGAAGGGGCTAGTGCTGGGCGGTGGAGGAGCTAGGCAGTGAGTCTTGGTGGACTGTGTCAATATCGGGGTGAGAGTGTGTGTGTGTGTCTGTGTGTGTGTGTCTGTGTCTGTGTCTGTGTGTGTGCCCGGTGCGTGTGTGTTGTATGTGTTGTGCGTCTAGGTGGGAGTGTGCCATGTGTGTGCGCAGAGAGTAAAGGGGGAAAAAGAGGGGCAGTGGCGGTGGTGGCTGTGGGGAGGTTTCTGTGGTTGAGTTTTGTGGGAGGGGAGGGTGAGAAGTAAAGGGAGGTGGGTGACAGTGGTGTGTGTGCACAAAGAGTAGAGGGAGAGAAAGAGGGAGACAGAAAGGTGGAAGTGAGAGGGAGAGGGAGACAGAGCGAGGTGTTCAGAGAGAAAAATACCTGGATCTGCGATCTGGGCTGGCGTCGTCGCTTGGTTCAATACTTTACATAAATTCACGAGAAATTCGCCGAAACTCAATGAAATAGGAACAGGAACTCGATTACTAAACCGTCAATCCGTAATCGAGGAATCGTCTTTCAATTTCGCAATTCGCAATTTCGCAATTCGCAATTCGCAATTCGCATACTTTTTGTCCTTCGATCTCCAAAAACTTGCTTGCTGAAATTGAGAGAGAGAGAGAGAGAGAATCGGCTGTGAATTGTGATTGATCAGGATGATTCTTGTACGAAAATTACCCGTTGCACTATTCGGGACGAAGGCTTTGAATTAGGAAACTAGTACATGAGATCCGTTTTGAAGAAAAAATTTTGTGTAACTTTCAAAAAAGCCCAACAACTGGTTGGTTGTGTTTCTTGTGCTTCAAGAAAGCCCAAAGAACTGGTTGCGTGGCTATCTTTACGTTGCAAGTAGGACTCTCTATTGGGCCCGGATGAGACAGACTTGCCCAAAATAACAATAGCACTCCAAGGCCCAACTCAGCCTAGGCTTTGAATTCGTTGAATATTTAATTAGGCTAGGTTCCTCATTTGGTGTGTAAATCAATTTTAGTCCTATCAAATTTTTAGTATAAAAAAAGATCCTCTAATTTTTTGAAAAATGTTGAATGTGGTCTTTGTTTATTTTAGTGTAATTGTTTTACAATTTGTGTTTATTGAGAGGTTTGGATTGAATTGAATTGAGGATTTTATAATTGGAAAATGTTATTTAGACCTAAAAATTTGATATAAGTTGCTGACCTAATGACGTGGCTTCATTAGAACTATTGGATTAACACCAGATTCTAATGTTTGGTGGAGCTCACAGTCAATCAAAAGGTTATAGTAAATTAGGTCAGTAAATTAAGTCCCAATAGCATTGCTCTTTATAATTTGGGTTGATCAGGATTAACCTTTCAACCACCTAACCCAGTCGAGTTGTACCTCTAATTGAACTTATAATCACAATTGGGCCCTAAGCTAATAAGTTTAAGGTAGCTTACATTATAAATATGTGAAAATTAGCAATGCATCATGTGCGTTGCACGTAAATAGTTTTTGTATACAACACGTATTAAATATATGTGTATTTAAAGTAAATATCTTCTCAAATTTAAATCTCCATCAATCGTGTTTTTTCAGGTGTAAATCTCCTATGGTATATTGATGGTGGCCACATCTGAATACCAAGATGACCTATGCTATAAGGATACACAAAGCAGCAAAACCTCAATTTCACTCTGTCTCTCTCTTCATGTGCTTCTGCTCTTCCAAATTCTTTCACTCATCTCTATTGTGTATCTTCTCCCAAACCCCAATTCCATCCTGTTTCTTAATGTTGAGAATCTTGAGTAATCATATTGACTTTATTGGAGTTTCTGAGATACACGAAATACCATATTTCAAATCCCTTTTAATATATTTTTCTACAATGATACATTATTGGCAGATGAGAAAGTTAGTGGGGTTTCCATTTGAATTCATTGCGAGTGAGTTGTCATTGGAAACAACAAAGACCTACTGTACTGAAGGATATGCAAGTACATTGACTTGAGTAACTAAATTCCTATATATGGTAAGACTCATCCTATAAATTTTTCTGCGTGAAGTTCTTTTTACTTTTTCTATAAACCAAGATCCATTTTAATTATCTGTTTAATAAAGATGTAATTGTATGTGAGTTTTGGACGCGTGTAACGATGCTAAACCACACATAGAAGACTCAAAAGGACTATCGTCGTGCTATTTGCATTACAATTTGAGGGGTGATGACGGTCAATTGGTATGGCAAGGTCTTCTTTTTTTTCCGAAACTAATTGGTATGACAAGTTCAAAAAGCTCATAAGTTGTGTTTTTTTTTCCCTTTGATCTTTGGCTCCACCTCAGTTGACGAACAATTTTCCAATGAGTAATGCTATGTAAGTTGATTGATAAATGAGTTTTATTGACACTTACTACACATCCAAATGTCATCCATGTCTTTTTTAATAGTTAAGCGATGATTATTATATTCTAATACCATGTATTGTCATCTTTGTCGTTAGACTAAGACACCAGTTAGTTTGATGTCCACCGTAAAGAAAGCTTGATTACCGGTGAATTCCTATCTTCAACTCCTTTAAAATTGTAGTGGAACCTCCAAACAAAGATGTGGGCAACTGATCAAACATGAGAGAATAAATTAACGCGATCCATCAAGCAGGGGGGACCAATGCAATTTTTGCTTTTGTTTGTTTTTCGTTTTTCTTTTTTTTTTTTTTTGTTGGAATTACAATGTCAATCCCAAGAGGAAATCTACCTAAGCTTGACGTACTGCATTTGAGATATAAAAAGAAACGACAAACTGGCTAGTGGCTGATCACTGCTTTGTTCTCTAGGGTTTTTTTTTTATCAGTAATGGTAAGAACTCCATTAAATATACGAAGAGTACATACAGAAGATAAGCACAGCTGAGCAATAGCAAAAAACCACTCACTGAACAGTCTGGCATACCACTTTTGGATTGGACCACTTTCCCACAGAGCATGAGTAGGATGAGTTATGTATAATAAGCTCGAATTCATTGTCTTCGCCTGGCAATTGTCCTAATCAAAGAAAATTTACCATTATGCATGTATCACAAAAAGTAGAGTAGCAAAATTGTTTGGCTTGGAAATAAAAGTGTTGGGTTAATAGTTATAGGGTTTTGAGTATGCAAAACTACATGGGCACGATAATGTTGAATATTACATGTATCAGTTAATCATTTTGGGGAGTTAATTCAACAATGGCCTAAAATAACATGTATATCAATTCAATTAGTTTAGAGAGACAAGACCCAAAAAAAAAAGAAGGTAAAGTGAAAAAAATAGTCGCAGGCAGCCACAGAAAAATGCATACTTTAAAGCAAATGAAACGTAAGAAAAACAATAAAATATTGTTTTTATTATTTTTAATTAAATTCCAAGCTAACTGGAAAAGCTCTTAAGAACAACCAGGCATACAATAATAACAGAAGGAAAAATTCTTAGAATTAAAGCAGGAAATTGAAATTTAAGCAACGTGGTCGTTTTGAAACACAGCTGATGGTTGAGAGAGGGGGCTCTGAGTTTTTGTTACTTCCCACTGAGATTTCATGTTCCTAACATTCAACTGGTTAAAAAATCCTAAAGAGTAGCATTTTAAGTACCTTTTTTTTTTTTTAAAGAAAACAACAATTTTGTCGAAAAACATAAGCATGTTTGATTATTATTTGAAGAAATGGTCTATATAAC